TACATATGCATAAGTGCAAGCATTCAGGACACGTGGACAGTTATACGTATAGGCTTTGAAAATGAAAAATATTCATTCGATTATACTTCTCCTCGAACTTGTACGTTACCAGTCATCGTACGGTATAATATATACCTTGCATACGGTGCATTCTTATAAACTGTACCAGAACTAAGCGCTGCCTACCAACTGTCGTGAACTATCGAAGCATAGTTGGACTAGTACAACTATATCGATGGACTTTGGTATAACACGATCTCCAGTGACTGTATATATGTATATTATCGTATGACTGTACTATCCTGTATAATCTTATACCGTATACTATCTATATCTATCTATCTATATATATAGGTATAGTATACGACGAGGTTAACCGAGACGAAGAACAGGCCTTCGCATTTTATTAGAAGTGAAAGTTGGCGTTTCAGGTGGCGTTGCCTATGGCTACCTATAAAATATGCCGTGTGATTGCAAACCTCGCGCCATTATTACACGATCGCTATACCGGACGTGGCCACGATCGTTGCGAATTTCCGTAGGATCTTTACACTCGGACACCCATTCCTTATGCCGGCCAATGAAGAATTCGCGAATATCGTATTAAAGTGGTGCTATCGAGATACGTCATTGGGTTGGTATGCAGCTGAAATTCGTTTGGCAGTGTAATGCATAGTGTATAGTCGAGCTTGTATAATGATTACACACAGGATTATACAGTGTATACAGATATATACTAGGTGTCACGGAGTATCGTAGGATTTCGTAAATTATCATTTCTCCCGATTCTATGACTCGTGGCATTATTATGCAAACGCAATAGCGAGTCGTGCCAGCCGCATAATAATGGCACCGGTCGTACACAATTGCGATATAAATGAAATTTCGTATGACTTTTCGGTCTTTGTTTTAACGCGGTATTTTCGGTTTCTTATATTGTCCGTATATTTGATCGATTGACGTCTTATATGCTAGGTTATGCGTTATATGGACATCGATAATTTTTTTGTAATTTCTCTATCGTCCAAACGATCGTACAATCAGGATTGACTTCCTGTATCGGGAATTAAGGTTTCTTCACACTTGTATGACTATACCATAGGAAGATCTCGCTCCCCCACGTCTCACGTACGTGCTCGAGACAAATCCGTTTGATTTTCGTCCAATTGTTACGCGAGTTAACGGACAATGGGTATAAGGTCGACGGGCTCGTGGCGTGACTCCATGACAGAGAGAACCGAACATCGAAAAGTCAATGTCCGCACAGCGTGCCGATGCTGTTTCGAAGCATTGGTTATGCCGTTTCCGAAATTCAATTACCGCACGAGCAAAAGTAATCATTAAAATTTATATATGTGAAAATTAATTTTCTTCTTCAGTCTCGAGTTTTCCAAAAAAGTCTCTCATTAATTATTTGACGAGGGTACGCGTAACGTTATCTTAGGAAAGAATTGTGAAAAATTTCCCCCAAAAAATATTTCACTTAATGACATTCGTTTGGCCGTCTGATCTTGCTCATGTGTATATATTACGGATTCTCATGAGTAATCGTCACCCATTGTATTGCCGAATGGACAAGGATACGTTAACCGATTTCGAAATCACCGGTACGTATGTCCTTCTCTTACGCACGTAAGAGCCCATGACTCTGTCTCTCTCGCGCTCGTGGCAAGTATAGGAAACTGTGAAAATCTAAAAGGATCAGGCCTTTTCCTAACCTACCGATGAAATTAGCACTTTGCTAATGGACATCAAAAAACTTCGTCATCGTTTTACATAGTTTCAAAACAGCTGTTTAACCACAGTTATCGCGGCTGTCAAAGACTCTTACGTTTCGACTATGCGTGTAGGCCACATGCGTGACGTATATGTATTTTTAAAAATAATTTTGTTATTCCAATAGCCTAATGCTCTTTACGTGCCATAGTTGCTCCCCCGAGGTTATGGTAATTCGTAAAGAAATTTTTTCGTGGAACAATAAACCGGAAGCTAATGCAAATTGACATTGGCCCGATTAATACCCATAACGAAACCCTCGTTCCTCAAAGTGGGCACGAAGAACCAATTCCTCTTTAGTTTCAGAACCTATAAACGGTGAAAGTATAGGGGAAAAAAAAACGTCAAGGACACCGTAAGATCTTACGAACCGGATTGTCTGTCCGGCGGAGTCACGAAACCCCTCGTGAGAGACATAAAATCATATAAAAGAATTTTGGATTGAATGATCGTTTATTAAATTTAAATATAGACACGTTAAGATTAAATATCGACAATTACAATCACCCTGTGATATCTCGCGGTTTTAAAAGTATAAAAAAAAGATTATAAAAAAGTAAACGTATGCGTGTATGCGTTATGAAAAAAAGTCCGATAGTTATCGATTCAAGGACCACGGATGTGGATGTGATCAAATTTATTTCGTATATTTTAAGCCTAAGGACTTCAACGACAAGGAAGATATAAACTCACGCGAAATTATCTCGTTCGACTATCTAGCTCAAGTATCTGTGTCTCGGACCTACGTCGATGTACACTTCAAAGATGGCGTTCCGATTCGTAAACTTCAGACTTAAAAACCTGGAACGGTATCTCCATCTTGAAATAATTACAAGGCATCGATGACGTCATAAACTTCGAAGGTAAACGATAAAATACCGACGATCACGTATACTTCACTGTTACGTATCGGCAACTTAATTTTTATGCTGACTGTACATACGTTTCGGCAAGATAAATCCTTCCTGCTGTCTGATCGATTACTAATAGATACCAGGCGCCATAAGTTTGATCAACTGTAATTAACGTACCTTGTTGTAGCCACTCAATTGATACAGCGGTTAATATTAGAATCGAGGCCAAAAAAAAAACAATCGTACAACCGATGAGTCCTTCTTGATACCACGGGAACATACGTCATCCTTCATTAAAGTATTTTTACAGATTTTCATTTGTACCCGTTAGAACGTTTCGCATAAGCTTGTATATGCTAAACCGAATGATTTATAAGATCGTTCGCTTAACTAAGCCCTAGATTAAGTATAGGGATTAGGAGAATTGCCAAGCTCTTTGTATCCAGAGCAAATCGCACGGAAGGTCTTCTAATTCGCTTTGACGTACCCAACGCCCTCGTACTGACCACTCCCCGTGGGTCTGCGGGGACAAGGAGTATGAAAAAAAAAGAGCATCGAAATGGACAAAAAGAATCAAGGACCTTCACGGGTATTGGGCGACAAGTATTGGGTGTGCGAAAAAAAACGCACGAAACTCATTGCCATTTCGGTTTGGCGATGCAACTGAAAATAAATGACCAGTCTTTACTGGGACTTGAAGAATGCTGATGGTAAATAACGTTATATGCATATCCTAGCGTGACGATAAATTTTTTTTTTAATCGCGTCTACTCGCTCGACATGTGAAAAAATTTTGAAAAAAAAACTATTCGCAAGGCCGTTTTTTTCATGCCGATTCCACTCCGAGCAAGATGGACCTCCCACGCTGGGGGGCAGTGATAGTGATGGAAGCAAAAGAAATAGAAATAAAATACTTATAGCACATTACAAAGAGACCGCTTTGCTCGCTTTATGATACATGTTCGATTCTGATATGCACTCGAAAAATTTTTTCTCCTTATTTTCTTGTTATGCAACATCGGAGTGAACGATCGCGGTACGACGGTTAAACTGGGTAATGAATTCCCGGATGATGATAGACCCAAAAAAAGGGAGAATGAATGGAGCAATTAGGATCTGTAAGATAAATTCTACGTCGGTTAACGATTATGCTTTTCTGCTAAGTCGAGAGTAATGGAGACGCGTTATTATAGTATACTTACTACGATTCTTCGTTACGTGACGTGCTTCCTTTTCAACTATTAATTATACTAAATTGCCAAGGCATCGAATTCCTTGTATTAAGCTTTGGGAGACACGTGACTTAATTTTTAACGAGCACGACCGCTTGTTCAAATAATAAAGGTTACTGCAATTTATTTTGGAAATTCAATATGCATCGGGTCCGTGCAATCAAATTTGCAAATTATTTTGCACTTTTTAAAAGTCTCAATCAGATACCCATTCGCTTATATTTGTCTTACGAAAAAAATCTTGACTGTACAATCCGTTTAAATATATATATATACATGTATATTGTAATATATGTATATATTGTATGACTACGTTATTAAAATTAGACAGATAATAGTCAGCTCTCTTAATATCAAGATCGCGTGATACGAGATAAGACGAGGATAAATAAAAAGACCCTAATTCATAGAAGCCCTGCTGTCAGGATAGGTATATCGCACTTTCTCACTGGATAGTACCTTTGGTTAATAAAAAAAAAAAAATACGTATTTATGTCGGTGATAATATATGGTTTCACTTTCGTTTAAAAGAACCATCGTTCTAGTCGAGGGTATAATATATGGTTACGTAAATTTATACTACGGGACATTGAGAATCGTGCTTCGGCGTTCCTGTTTAAACTGTTTGACAGTTAAACGATCTTTAAACGCTACGTCCAATTACTGCTTATTTATAGTGTAAAATTTGTACGACAGCCCCGGAACAAAGAAAATTGCCCATTACGCATGTTAAAATGTCGAAAGAACTTTTGTGTGTACATGAATAACACGTAGAAAACGATAGCTGTGGTAAACTTGTTTGTACCGTTAAAAAAAATTAAGAAAATTATTTGGAATTATGTTTGAAAATTTATGGGACGCCGAAAAAAATAAGTTCCTGAAATTAAGGAGATAAATTATTGTACGTAATACACATTTATTTGGAGTCGTTATGGTACTCAAATTATTGGCGGAGATTTTTATGGCGAAATAGGACATGTTTACTGGTTCGTCATATTGCGAAAAATAATTTTGAACTTTTAATCCCTTACTAACTTTCACCGTACTCGGGGCTAACTTTAACGCGCTCCACCTTCCCATCATTTTTTTGACTGTCAAACAGAAATGCAATGCAACCTGTTTTCTCAATGATTTGCAGATTAATACACTGACTCGCCATGGTCTCCAGACGAAAAATTCTTTCCCGTTCGCGAGACAACCTTGCCGAGTACGAGGAGCAGGAAGAAGAGGATGTGTGGTATAATTTGGATAAGCTGTACAAGGTAAAAGAATTACTAAAAATTTTCTTATAGATATTGATGCAATCATTTAAAAAATTGTATCGAGCGTTTCAATTGTCTATGATAACAGATACAAAGAAAAAATAAAATGTATAAAATGAAAAAATAAGCTGCCGTAACCTTAATAGTAATAGAGCCACAATTGGGCAATGAGTAATAAAATATAATGTATTGGCTGTACCTTTTGTTTTGCCGCAATGTGGAGCCTCGCATAATAAGGGGGATCCTTTCTCTCTTCCGCTACCCTTTTCTTCTTCTTTTTACACTGTTTCATGGTGCTCTCGTAATAACTCTATTATTTACAGTGTAAATTTAACACGAAGACACCGCGCTTCACTCCCAGCATAACGAACGATTTATTTTACGAGGCTGTATTCTCCTTGTTATGCATTTTCGCGCGTTGCTGTAAATCACTTGCAATGATGTTCAATTGACAATTACGTACGCTTGTATTCAGGATCACATACAGGAGGTCTTAGACAAATGGAACCAGATAGATGATGAAATATGGGCGAAAGTTATTGTCTTCGAAAGAAACAGACGTGTGGCTAAGGCGTATGCAAGGGCGCCTGTACTAACCATAAATGGATCGAACGAAGGTTTCGACGGCTACCGGTGAGTATTAGATAAGTTTAAAAAATAATAGATAGTAAAAAAAGTCTAGAAGAGATAATTGAGAAAAAGCGTAATCGAGCAGCACTCAATTTTCCGGAAGTCATATCGTTACGTTTCCTTTTTTCTCTCTACCTTTTATATATCCAACGAGGAAAGGAAATGCAAGATTTCTAGACCATAAATAGGAACCGCAATGTTGCGAGGAAACGATCGACATTCACCCGGTTTCTATGCGAGCTACCATTCTCGATATTACAACCGCCATTTTCCAAGCCGCCATGATTTCTCTTCAAACTCACAGAATGATCCACATTTCCGGATTGAGCTCGTAGCTCAATGGACGTCATTGTCGAATTATTTAATGTTTACAGCATTACACCAATTGCTCTTATTCTCCACTGAAATTAATGCGCTATTTCTTTTGTGCTCCTTTTTATACCAACTTTAGAATGCCACTATTGAATTTGCTCTCTTAATGAAATTTCATCCATATTTTCACTGTGCCTAACGGTTTTAATACGAACTAGCGAAACTTCAAGCTACTAAAAACACCTGCCGCTTCTTCTGCTCGTCCGGTGAAAACTTCCACGTCGTATTATACTTACCGACCTCTATCCCATTCTCGTGCGGCCAGTCGATTCTACAGAGCATTCCACGAAATCGCTTACTGAAAGTCAAGCAGACGACTTTTGTATACGCAGAGCAAGTTAGCCTTTTTACAAGCGACCCGATTTCTAATTATTTGATGAAGACTAATCAACGAGTCACGTTCCAATTCGTGACACGAATTCACCGCTCGATCTCATTTCGCGATCAAAGTGCGAAACGTTTTCAAGTTGAAGTTACGACAAATAAAATGGGGAGAAAGAAAACATCAAATAGGCTGAATACTCACATAACCCTCAAGAAGCATAAATTAAGCATTCCAAATTGAGGTGAATTTTTTTCTCTTTCTTTTTCACTCTCATTTTACAAGTCTTCAACGCGTTACGTAACATACGTATTTTGCATCCAAGGTTTACGCTTGCAATAAATTCTCACGTTAATCCGTGCATATATACACTTATACGAAATATCATTTCGGCCATTGTCGTGATGCGTATGCGAGAATCCACCGCGCGTAGAATCGAACTTAGTCATTTGAATTTTCATGATGTAACCTCTCGAATGTGGGACGAGCCGTAAACCGTATCGCAGTTCGAATACTAATGCTCACCTAATAGTTCAGTGAAATTGAAGATCTACAAAGTAAATTGACTACCGTTCCTAATTGGAATTATCATACTTTTGTTCGTAAGAGCAATTCCACCTCATTGTTTCCGTATTGACTTCCACATAGAAATAATTACTCTCCCACGCTCTCCCGAACTCACTGTTATAACTACTAATATAAAAGAATTTCTTGGTGTGTATGTACTACATATACACATATACTGGTAGTATCATGAAGAACAGACGGATTCTCTTTTCGCGTAGTTACTATTATTATAATTAATAATCAGGTATGCTTCTTCAATGTCTTTCAGCAGTGCGCACTACTTGCGAATTTCCGTTATTAATTATCATGTTAATTATAGCCAACTGAATGAATCCCTGTAATTAATTATCAGGATAGGACTGTGCGGTTTCGACAATCCGATGCGAGATTCGAAAACGGACGAAGCCAAGAGACACATAAATCAAGGTGTAAAGCTAAAAATGGACAATGAAGGCAACATCCAAATAAAACGCTTGTGCAAGAGTAATGTATACATAAAAGCAACACATCCGGAAGACAATGCCATTGGTTCAGAAATAATACGTAATTCACAAGGTGCATTAGAACATGAAAAGCCTGGAAAGGTAAAAATTTTAGTTTGATTTTAAAAAGAAAATTGTTCATTTACTATACAATACATTTCTGAATGACATTTAAATATCTTTATATTATTTTTTTCAGTTGTTCGACATTGACAAATACGAAACAAACTTATCCAGAGAAACAAGAAGAGCGTATCCAGATAGACGAAGATTAGAAACGCAATGTTTAAGCGCCATTGTATTTGTACGTACCGAGGCTGACTTATTGCAATGCCCTGTCTGGGCTCTAATCGTAAACGTAGTAGGACTTGATATGTTAAAGTCAAAATTACCACCAGGTACGTGCGAGACAGTCCGCATGATTCTATTCTAAAATAATCATTGTACGGTACGATAAAGGTTCCGTTATTGCACGCAATGTATTGAATCAGTTCTAGCGCTCCAAAGGCCCGTAGATATAAAGAACCGGCCGAGAATACCAATTCCAGATGAAGACCCCTATAGCGTAGCCGGAGTCTCGTCTTCGGGTCAAAGTGAAGATCCGCAAACTAGTAGAGACACCAGAGCACAAGTTTATATGCCATCGTCGAGTTATCATCCCCGTCGTCCTGAGAAACCGCCTAAGCTGCCACCCAGAGAAAATCTCTACGGTCATGACATTCCTAAGGTACTGTACAATGGCTGGATGCATGCTTAGGATCTTAGGAATTAAGGCACGTGTTAAAAGACTGATGTATTGACGGCATTAAAGTGCCGCATTGTCGCCTACGCTATAATCGATGACGCTTCTTTATTGCAGCCGGATTATGATGACATCGAGGATGACTATGCGAGTGCTATGAGACCTTCGGTTATGGTGGGCGATGAAAAGAAGAGTAAAAGAGATGACAGTAAGAAATATGGTATGCGCTCACAGTATCCTGTCTCATTGTCAAATATTTTATTTGTCATAACGAGGATTATACGTTTAAACGTCCATGTCATTCCGTTATAGATGATCCGTATTATTGTGGGCTTAGAGCACGCGTACCAAACTTCGTGAAAATGGCAAAGAACGGCCAGAACAAAGTTTCTTCACCGTATGGACATATAAGACCTCAACCAGCACCTGCATACGTTAGTAGCGGATATGTGAGCAGTCAGTCTTCACAAATATATGGGCATCATGTGCCAGCAAAAAGACCACCGATTATGTACCACGCAAGAAGCTTTGAGAGCGGACTCGGTACGTACGTACATTTCATCTTGTTGCCTTTTTTTTTTCTAATCATCAACCAATACCATATTAGGTAGAACAGAACGAAATGTTTGAGTGTGGTCTTACTAAAAATATTGCATGTGAATAAATGCTATTTGTGTGCTCTTTCCTTTGATTTTCTTAATTTTTATTGAATTTCAATTAATCGTAGATTTAATTGTATTACAGATTCGGACGACAGAATTGATTCCCCGTACAACCATATTTATGGTAGGTTACCCATCCCGACGAGGGGCCTGATACCGGCACCACGTGCTATGTATATCGGAGAATGGGATTAAGATTAAGTAATATCTTCGTATTTGTACTTACAAACTGTATATTGTTAATATACCATATAAATACTCATATTTTTTATGCCAGCACCATGATTCTCACTTCTTTTAATATATATTTTCTTATCGGTGACATGCAACCACCCAGATATTATTAAAACCTGAACACATTGTATTTCATGCGTGATACTTTCTCAAGATACTTTCATAACCCTCAACTAAACTGTGCCGGCCGGCTTGGAATACGATTTCAAAACGTTTGTGGTTTTCAACTAGGAGAATTAATAGAACAACCGTGATCGGTGACCGGTAAATAATTTCTTTCTTGACCTTCGATCTTTATTTTTTTTTGGAAAATAATTTCACTGCAATCAATTTTCTTTTTGCTTTCATCACTGAACTTTCAATATTCCTAGGTTTGATCGAGTGAAACTCGATATTCATTATATCAGGTAAAATTATTTACTTCTTATACTATATACGTACAAAAGTGTCGTTATTCGACAGAGGTTAATGTTGTGTTTTATTTAATTAGTGGAAAAAGAAATAGAAATGTGAATGACTATCAGAGCACGATGATAGGAAGAAATAAAAAGCCTTTCAACGGTATCTCTTTCCTACATTCCAAGTTTAACTGTACTAACATAGCTGTTATGCTGAAAGTACTTTGTATTTGGAACGTGACGAGTTACTCGTACGTGCATTCAGCATTTCAATTTCGATTTTTTTTTCATGGTATACTTGAGCTTAAGGTCGTTCAAAGTAATTCATAACTTCTCGAAGAGTTTAATAATACGGATTCGCAACGTTGACAAATTATCTCACGTCTTAGTACAGCCAGACAAGAATGCGCGGTCATTATGTATCCATAAACTTGTATTGATGATTTATAAAAATGACAGTATTGTTCATGCTTACAGTATGTTGCGCGCAACTAATTAATGCGTCCATTTGATATTGGTACTTTTAAAAAACTCAGACTTAAGATATATGCTTATTGAAAATTTCACTGGGTCCTGATGGCAGCGAGATATCATCCGTAAGAAAGTCTATCGATGTCAGTTGCGTATCAGTTGCCCCGATTTTTTAAATCTTTCACTTTGTAAATCCGCACCAGCCAATGTTCCGTCGTATACGCTTCCTCTAGCACATCCAATTCGAAGTCCTTATTTCCGATTTCCATGTTCCTTACTCTGTCGTATCCCGGGGGTTTTCCTAATTTTGCAAACAGAAAATAACATTACCCATCCTTTAGCAGAGAACGTATTATATAACATGAAATAAAGTGCTTTAGAATTTTACCAATCGAAAATTCTGCACCTAATTTTCAAAAAACGTCAGAATGATACGAAACTTACCTCCTTCGGTGTAAACTTGACCAAATCGATAGTAACACATTTTGTACATAAGACAATTGAGCCAAATCGGAGAGGCTTCTTTATCTACTCTAAATTCGCCAGCAGCGTTATAATAATCCCACTCGGTGATAGATTTACCTTCTTCAGTGCTACCACCGATACGCACCATCCATAGGAACTTATTAATATCTAAAACAAGAAAGGAGCGTCAGATTATTAAATAAAATCGATTCGCGTATGCATATAGACCGAAGATCTATACAATAAATGATATTTTCTTGTTGGTGCCAATAGAATAAGATAAAGATAGAGACTAAAATATATATAAACTCATAAATGAAATTAATATGATCCAATAATCAGTATATTTACAAAGTGAGACCATACTCTACACGGCCCTACTCTATCTTCAAAGATCACTCTAATCGGACGTATAAGAAGTTTATCAGTAACAGATAGTCTCAGTGCACAGCGTTATAATGCTTGGATCAAAGATTTGTAAAAAGGGATAAAATTACTTACCGTCCGATGAGTAGCCTGTAAGTCCACCGAAAATAACAAGTACATAATTCACATCCAGTTCTCTCATTATCTCGTAGGCCTTGTCCTCACTACTCGCCATTGCTTGTCCAACTCTCGATATGTGTGTATTGTTCCATGTATTATTGTCTACTAAAATAGTTCTGTTTGCCATCGCCGTTATTTGATAACCATAATCCCACCAGGACATCACCTTGGCGTCCTGATTTTAAATACAAGCATCAAAATGAATTCTATTAATATTCTAAATGTGGTGACGATGGATTTGCATGTGAATATTACCTCAGGAGTATTCATGCGTAGCCAGTAATAAGCTTCTCTGAAATCATCAAAAATCATTCGGCCTCCGTCAGGTGAGCGAGCTGATAAGACTATACTTGGTGAACTATATGCTTCGGCTGTGACCCATGTGCAATGCACGGTATACGAGAAGAACAAAATGGACATTATGAAGATGAAGAACATGGCGATCTGTAAGCCACAAGATGATGGTATTGTCTATATCTGTTGTGAATTTCTTGTGATAGATATGTAGCGAATGAATCTTACTTCGGTTTTTAGAACGTAATTGTTTTCAAATTTGCGAGACTTCTTATCGGTGACTTTTCCACTCTCTATCTGTTTCATGTAAGTTAGCACCAGTGCTGATGCACCGATTGCACCAAGTATACACATGACAGGTGCAAGTACTAACATTAGACGTACCATGACTCCCTGTAAAAAAAATGTAAGAAATTTGTAAAGTTTAGTTCATGTAAAATAAATAATTAAGAATATTTGATAGTAGTTAGATAGGAATACATACAGCAAAGTAGAGACTGGTAACTCCATAGAGTATGAGGAAGATATTGGAGTCTGTTAACTTAGAGAAACAAAAGTATAAACCAGCAGGGAAAAGGAATACAAGGATCTGTAGATCGAAGTAAAATGAACTCCAGGAGGTTGGTTGATGCTCCGATACAGATGCAATAATAGGAATGTGATTCTTCGCGTACGATGGATCCAGCAGAGAATAGAAGCGTCCAGTCCATGGAGATATCTTGCCTGTTTAAAGCAACTTGTATGAAAATAATCTAAAAGAAATATTCTAATATAACAGTTGAAAAGGAGTATTACCAGTCAATGTCAGTACAGTTCCAATGATGGCAGATGCTGTGAGCATCGATAAAATGAGTCCACGAAACAGTAATTCAAAATCACTTTGAGATAGTTTACTGCGAAGATAGTCTACAAGTGTGTGAATTTGACACAAGCCAAAGACTCCAAATGCCTATGGAGAACACATAACATACAACATATCATAAGAATATTGTAAAGTAATAGTATGAGACTTGTATATTTTACCAGCATGTGTTCGGAACTTTGCACAGGTTGGAAGCCGACGAATGAAATTTGCATAGAGAGGATCGTTCCTATGCAGTAAAGTACGTTATATGCAACATATATTCTGTGCGAAAAGCGTCCAGTAACCATAAGCGTCAGGACGTGCATGGGAATGAGATTGATTAGGAAGACGTATCCTCCCCAGGAAGAAACCATATAAAAGTAAGCTAGTGCAGCGCATGTAGACCAAAAAATAGCGCCTGTTTTTACGGCCTTTATCCACATATAGTATGTAAACAGCATGCAGAAAATTGCTATGCCTTCGTTGTCATAAGAACCAGCTACAGATCTAGATATATAACCAGGAACGATAGCGATCATTGCTGCGGCAAGTAATCCTGAAGCAGAATCCTGAAAATGATAACAATTAAGATTACTTTATATTGAGAAAACTTGTCTAGGTGTATAAAGATTCTATAATCTAAGAAACTGATGATAATACCCTTAGTTCTTTCGTAAGAAGATAAGTAACTATAGTAGTGAAACTAGAAAATAAAGGTGCAAGGAAAACGCAGACATTGCGTATATCGATGGTGATATTCAGTAGCCATGCTAAGTGGTACAAAGCCGCAGAAGTTATCATCAATCCGGGATATATAGTGCCTGGAAGTTTCATTTATTATGCATATAATCAGGTGAAATAAATATCAATTATCTTAAGTTTACATAAAAAACACTACCTCCGATAATTCTGCCAAGAGGATACCAGACACGATCATCAAACCAATTATGAAATTTATAGAATCCTTCTTCAGCCAGGAACTTTGTTGTTCTATAGTTAAAATATGGATCAAACTCATGGATAACACTCTCGAATCTTAATACCGAGAATAACCGCGTTGCAAAAGCTGAAACATCAAGAATATTATGTATTCTGTCACTAGCAAGACCAAGTCAAAACATGCTGAACAAAGTTGTTCAATCAGATAATTAATCATGTTAGTAATATCTTATTATCGATCTGATTTTTGAGCATGTACCATAAAAACATATACTTACACAACACAGCTGCTAGGGATAATATAGTCAGTTTCAAGAGTGTTTCTTGCTTTTCAGCTGATAAACGCAGACCCCGTGCCTTTGCAAGGATTGCCATGATGGATCTAAATGAAATTTAAGTTTGCCTGTAATGCAAAAAATTTATTAAATAATTATACACGCACAGGATATAACAATCACATTTTACCTAGTTTAAGAAAATAAAATGTAAAATAAATTAATAGGCAATAAAAGTTTATATAGATTATATCTGAAGAAATATATCAATTGCTAAAATAAGCGAGTACACATTGTGAAAATATTTACAATTGCAATATGATATGATATTTGAATTTTATATAAATAGTATTTATTTCATAAATAACCAAATCAAAAGAATTCATAGTTTAACATATGCAATTTTTAAACAATATTTATTAATATTATATTTAATGCATTATTTTACCCAATATGTAACAATTTATTTAGATATGAAAAATAAGAATTGTTCCGTTCAATCAATCACATAAATATTATTAATATTGAAACATAATTTAATGAAATATATATATTCATAGCTACAAAGTACCATATGTTTACTAATCCTATCAGCTGGTTTGCTTTGAGAAAAATTTAACATGTGGCATTTATTTGATCATAGTATCATTCAACTTCTGTGTTATATGAGGTTGATCTATAACATTTTTTAAAGGAACTAAGTTTAACTATAAGATACAACTAGCATCTGCTAATCATCGACACATAATTCTGTGATAAACACAAAAACAATCTTATCATAAAAATATAGTTTAGATAGTTACATGCAGCTTATCCAGAGTTATTATATTGCAGATGTCTAACCTTAAAATTTGGTCAAAATCTATGTCAATAAAAAGTGTATGAGATCGCTAAAAAAAATTTAATTTTAAACTTTAAAAATATAAAGATATCAATCTGGTTCGAATTACGTTATTATCTCCTGCGTAAATCACAACAATAGCGATAGTTAGATTTACTGTATTCTTGACCTGACCACGTACACAAAATTACCGGCCGGCAAATTCGTCCAACTTCTAACATACAGCACTGTATTAGAAGCGATCGGATAGTAGAATATTAAAATGCCTTGTGAATCAGATAGTACTTACAAATTTGTGTAGTGGAAAAATTGGCAAAACAATAAGATTATTTAAATCATTAACTTAGAAATGTCGCACCCCACTCCAAAGAAAAACCATGTAGGCAAGTGTGACGTTTATGTCCTTAGAACCAGCACTAGCTTACAGATAAACTTTACATGAAGTAAAATGCAGAGATGAGTAGAGAGATGCACAACGCTACGGTTTTAGGCGATACCAAAAGCGTGGCGCTAAATCGTAGCGGCGAGTCCACAAATAGAATTTCGTGATCATCGCCTCCGTCGATAATGCGTATCCCATCGTAGCCGAGTTAAACGTGATCCCGAACGTGTAGCTTGGCAAGTAGAGATTCTCCGCCACTCACCACTGATTCTCAAACCAACACTTCGAATGAGGCCGCTCATAAGATATTGCCAAAATATATTTTTTCTTTGCAATCTTAAGTTCGAGCGCACAGTGTAAGATCGATAAGATTTACTATGACAAAAGCCAGCACCTCATGCCTACCTGCACTGAAGCGTATGATGCCACCAGTACCTTTAATAGATATTTTACCAACGTTTCATAGCAGAACTATTCTTAAAGTCTATCAGAAATCATAGAACAGCTCGAGAACTATTGAAAAAGCCTATTCAATTTGTACACCACTATATTTGCTTAGATTTTCTTTTAATAATTTTTTTCTTCCGTTTCAGGTCATCAGATGTCATCCGATTTTCAAGAATCCTCAGGTAAGTATATTTAATATTAAATTAATAAGTAATCCCCTTCCGATCTTGAATACGAATCCACCCAACTTCCTTGTTAATTATAATCTTGCTGATTATTTAATACACTATATGTAAGTATGACAGTTATTGCCCTTTGCAATAATTATGCTGCACTTTCATATTTAATTTTTTATTTATTAACACCTTACTTCTTATAATAACTACAGGAAAAGGGGTGCAATAATAATTGATGAACTCCTTTATAATATTCAAATTATAAAGTAACTTTATTATTCACATTCAACTTCAATAAAGTTAACACACGACTTATATATCTATATACACGGCTAGTAACACGGAACATGAAATCATAACATGACATAAATCAAAACCCTCTGGTATTTGTTCTTTAATCTTCCTTATTGTGTAATAATAATCTTTAATACGACTTATAATTACGGAGTTGACAATAATACTTTTTAATTAACAAATTTATGGTAAATAGCTTAAACGCTTTTGTCACGGTTTGCTTAATTCAAGACGTATGACTCAGATCTGTGTTTAAATCATTAGTTCTTTCGGGATATATAATTGCGCTCTTTTACATAATTTTCAGCAAAATAATTTTACGGTATTCTAGCCACATTTTACATATATGCTACCGTGACTCCCTGTGGCATTCTTCCCCTTACGAATATTTTAGGAAATTTTTCTAAAACTATTTGTATCAAACTATATATATATAAAATCTTATAGCTTTAATATATAATATCATAATAGTAAGGTTAATACAAAATAATATAATATAAGCCTGTGCTAACCATGTTTTGTAGCAAAACTAAATATCTCTTTTAATCACTAGAGTCACTCGCATAGATCGACGATCTAGGTCTGCCTCCTCCCTTTGATCTCTTAGTATCCATGCATTTTCTACTGCGAATTGCCCTAGATCTCGGGTTCATCCTTCTGGGAGTGATACCCTCTTCTAAAATTTTTTTATGATAATACGCATTTCTACGCTTGACTTTAGTAATTAAATTTTCATCAACAAACTTTGGTCGGTCAGCCATGATTACATCATCAGCTTCGTTGCTTCTTTCACCAAAAAACTTGGTTTGTTTTCTTGCCCGTTTGGACCTATTATTTTCCAACTCTCGAGAAATTTGTTCATCTTTTAGGTTTTCCAGTCTAACTATTAACTTCATATCCAGCTTTGGATCTCTCCCTTTAACTATTTTAATGTTCTGCTTAATTATTTTCGTTCTTGAAACTCGAGGTTTGTCTTTTTTTTTATCATTCATTTGTGCTTTCTTCTTACTTGCAACTTCTACTTTATTATTCATATTGACATCAGTTTCCTTTTCTTCAATCAATTCAATATTTTCGGCTTTATTCACATCTCTTTTGTTTTCTTGAATCTCTCCGGTTACTACTCTTCCGCAAGCTTTACGCAATTTATCTTCTAACTCTTCCTGCAACTTTTCAAAATTTGTAAATAAATTCTCGATTCCAACTTCATACTTGTGCCAAAATTTGGAACATGTGTCTAGAATTTTAAGATATTGAATCATTTGCTGCATCATTTTTCTTATGTCTCTTGACTCTGCTGTATTCTGGTTAGCTTCGTACTCGGCGCTGTCCTGAAGACTACTGATCAATTCGAATGCTTGTTGTTTATTATAGGCATTTGTGTCATCTGCTGTCGAATCTGTGTATGCGTCGCTCGAATCTTCCTCTTTTTCAGGTTTGATGATCACTAGTGGGTTATTCCTTTTTGTTTTTACTTTCTTTTCTTGTATTATTTGAATAGTCTTGGATCCTTCCCCTCCGTCTTTATCCTTTTTGATCTCTGTCTTATACTTCCTATAGTCAACATCTTTCTTCAATTCTTTCTTTACAATTCCTTTGCCTATCCTTTTTGGATCCTCAGAACTCTTTCCTTCTCTTATCCTATTCCTGTTTCCTTGATACTTATTCGTTAGATATCTCCCTTCCTGCATTCTGACTATGTCTCTTCCTTGATTATTCAAATCTCCTTTATCCTTATTAGTTCTCTTTCCTCTTCCAAGAGTAGAATCACCTCCCTGGTATTGATCATCCATTTCTTTGAACCCTTTGCTTATTGCTTCGATAGACTTTATTCTTAAAGCTCCTTGTTTACTCTTAGTAATTTCCTTTTGTTTATTAGAGCAAAGCAGCATGAGTGTATTGAAAACTGCGCATCAATTCCTGATAACTGTCTTTGTCCAATTCTTCTCTGGTTAGGTTCCTCGTTGTTCCAGTCTCAAGTGAGTAATCACGATTTATCAGCAATACTGTATCATAGGCTTATTTATATTTCCCATTAGATGAGTATACACCATTATATTTTTTAAATTTTCTTTTAATCATTCTTTTTCTTCCGTTTCAGGTCATCAGATGTCATCTGGTCTTCAAGAATCCTTAAGTGAATATATTTGATATTAATTAAATTAATAATTAATCCCCTTCAGCATACTAAAAGCTAATACTTGCTTCCAGCTTCTTAGGTAAGTATGACAGCTATTGCCCTTTGCAATAATTATGCTGTACTTTTATATTTAATTTTTTTGTTTATTAACACCACTTATAATCACTACAGGAAAATGGGTGCATTAATAATTTATGAACTGCTTTATAATATTCAAATTATAAACTAATTTTATTATTCACACTCAACTTCAATGAGGTTACACACGACTTGGACATCTATGTATATATATATCTAGATACGACACAAAATGCCCTCTATGTGCACTACACTCACCTGGGTGGTTGTGTCCCTTCTATCTCTCTCTGCGCAGCTCCCACCACTGCCGTACGAATGCCATTATGGTTAGGTTCAGTAGTATCGCCTAAAACCGTAGCGTTGTGCATCTCCAAATGTTTCATGTTTAAAGTTACTTAGAAGGTGAGTTTCTATGGATGCAGAAATAACGTACTAAAGCGCCACATGTATCTTCTTTGTCTCCATATCTGTTCTATACATACAGGCCGTTTCAATCAGTTTCTGAAAAGCCAAAACATATATAACAATAAGTTTTACAACGCCCCGTAAAGCTTTATTTACAACAATTAAAGTTAAACATGCGCTTTAATATAATATCAGATAAATGTATAACTAATTTTCATTCATGTAAAATTAATTTTTACAGTTATTCTTTCTATTTCTATATTATCGATGACTATGAACATTCAAAATAGAAAATGGAGTGCTGGTAGAATAGCTGTTACTTATAAATTTCGAGTGCATCAAGAAAATCTAAATACCAAAAAAAATGCAATGATACAGATAATTGTTCATTTTGTATTTAATTGGTTGAAAATGGGGAAGCGCGAAAACAACTAGAGGAAGGAAAGGGCCGATAAAAATGGTAGGTCCGAAAGGAACAGTATCGCGACTGTCTATCATGGCACAACTCATGACCATCCCGTGAGCAAAGAGGCAGCCATTTTTAAACTGCTCACCTGCTATAATAGAATAGAGAAGACATGGATGGTGAAAATTGCACCGAACAGTAATGTAACGGCATAAGAACGAATGGAGCGTGGCCAGCCGTAAAAGAGCAGGCGAGTTCGTGTCTGAACGCGAGGCTCGCTTATAGTTGACGTTACTCCAGCGAAGGCACTGTACTCCCGTGAAATAGATGAAATGGTGAACTGTCAACATCGCCTAGAGATTGGAACATGATTTTCTGTGGTGTTCAGGCGGATATTAACGGTTCCTCGTTGTAAGGGTGCACAACGACAAAGTTTGATAATTGAGGAAGCATCGAATTCATCGGCTACAGCACACAGCGATGACGGTTTTAATATGCGAGAGAATAGCAGCAGCGCACGTAGAAACCGTGGATCACGAATGTTAAGTTTCGACAATAATGGCAGATAATGTACACAGAAAATCGCATAAGTTGTCGGATCGGAAGTTATCTAACCCGGTGCATCGTACAACCACGGAAACGATTCGGCTGGGCGAACCGGACAAGTTGCACCATCCGGTCTCGTTGTCCGCGTCGAGCAACGCGACAGCGAACAATCAGTGCAGGAAGAAGACGTCGTCCTTCCAGATTACTAGCGTTACGGTGGGCTGCCGGATGAGTAACGATGCTGGTGAGGATTCCAATGATGATCTTGATGAGTCCCATACTGAGGACAATTCAGTCGAGCACTCCAGGATCACTGACATCGACATTGAGACACCAAGTTATTCGGAGGACACGTTTTCCAAGGAGGATGTATTCTTCAATACGAGCAATGCTGCACTGGGTACAGCCCCGGTGATTCCCACAAGTTCCCAGTATGGCCTGGCAATTGTACCCTCTGAAGGGAGCAATGTCAGTAATTCGGTCAACGACAACAATATAAATACTCTTGACATCACCTCTGTCACTGACAACAATATTATCAACCTGCTGTCGAGCAATACGAAGCAAGATGCAGACCTACGTGAGGTGCATTCGCATGGCAGAAATGAACGTTTCAAGGTGGTCAAGATTGAGAGCACCGAACCTTTCAAGAGAGGACGCTGGACTTGCATGGATTACTTAGATCATACCTCTGTGAATCAGCCTACAGCCATTAGCACCCCTAAAGTCTCTGATCCAAACGAGGTGTGCATTTCGTATGGAGTGACTGATAGCGGGGTAGTCATACCAGACGCGCCTAAGCAGTCAGTAGTGTCCGACGACAAGGGCGTCAGTGTCGACGCTAACGGGCAAGTGTCCCATCAGGACGTTCACCCTTCAATGGGCGTAACAAACAATCCGACGACAGTTTCCAGTGCGAACTACGCGGTAAATAATTCAATTCCCCAGAGTGTACAGCATAATTCTGCGCAGGTACAGGCACAAGCGCAGGTTCAACCTCCTTCACAGATGCCCCAATACTTCCAGCCATCCTCACAGCAGCAACTGACCCCGCAACAGCAACAGCAGCAGCAGCAACAACAACAACAACCTGGTGGACAGGGCTCGACGCTGCCCTCGAACCTACAACCTGCCCATCCCAACAATTTGGGACAGCCTCAGAGCATGCCTCAAGGCTCTATTCCTATTATTACACAGACTAATAATAACAATGTGACGCCTCAACAGAATATAACCCATCCCACAGAGGATACATACGTGACAGTCAGCTCGCAAAATCAGTCTTTGCCAGGTCAAAATGTTTGTCAACCGTCGGTGCAGCAGGCTTCGGCGCCAAACTCTCAGGCACCGAATATTCTCGTCACCCAGCATCCACCACAACAACAGCAGCCCCAACAACAGCAACAGCCACAGACCTTACCATCCCAGAAGCAGATGACCCAAGTGTCCGAGTCCATGACTGCCATGCAAGGGACACAAGCTATCCAGAATATACACAAAGTTCCTCAATCAGGTGCGCAACAGACACCTTCGAACATTCACGGCCCGGGGGCCCCGGTACAAACTCAGGTGATGCCGCCGGCTCAGATGCAACCCCAGACAACTGGTAGCAATGCTCAAGTGCAAATGGCCCAAGTGTCGGCCAGCTGCCAGAACGTGGTGGGCGGAATACAGCAAGGAAGTATGACGTTTCATCAGTCCGACCCGGAGCAGGACTCCGTTTCGGGCATTATTGCGGCTGCCGCTGCACAATCAGCGGGTGCTGCCCTTCTTGAATCCCTTGCCGAAGTTACTCAGAGCGGTGATGACCACAATGCCCTCGAGGACAATGAAAGGTTTGTTCTACCTAACTTAACGTCATCCCAATGCGAATTGAGCCAGTCTATCCTGGACAATGTCCTCTATGACCTTGCGTACCATATAACAAGTTCCTATGTGCATTCAACTCGATACTTTCTACTACACTGCCACTCGATAGGCTCAAGTATCTCCTGAAATGGTCCATCCGTCAAAGCGAATGTAAACATTCATAGTATTTTTCCAAACATCTTCTTGAACACTTCACTAGAAATTGTCTACAATGGCAACCAGCCAAAAGAACTTCGATTCCTTGAGTCACTACCACGTACCACTATTAGCATTAATGACAAGGGCTTAATTACGCACAGAAAAATTTTGACATGTAAAGCGTACAGGTCTCACGTAAAAATAGTACTCGTTAATGCAAAAAGAACGAAAAAATTGAAACGTATGAGAGGATGACGTTAACGGGACTCGTTCTAGGATGGAAGACGTATTCAGTATTACGCTTGAGACTAACACCAGGCAACGCTATTGTTTTAATCAAGCGAAAGAACGCCGTTACTTATTTTCTAAATAATACATAAACGAATACGTTGCATATGATTTGCCAGAGTTAAACAATAATTGTATCGATAATATCCTTGACTGCAATCAATTGCCGTACGTACACAATTTTCATTTTCTTTGACTATTATGCAACTGACTATCTGTATCTTTATAGACACAATACTTCTTTCTAAGCTAACAAAAGATGGCACGCATTCGCTTCAATTTTTTTTTATATGCACTTACATTAGTCTGATACGAAACTGGCGATTCTTCCATCGATATCAGATCTTCACCCGGTAATTAATGTTTAATGAGAATTATGAATTATAGGCTCCTTGTGATTTTTGTTTCAGTATGTCCGGGACAAGTGCCGTAGCAATCGATAATAAAATCGAACAAGCTATGGTATGTATGATATTTCAAATAGTATTTTTTCATGTAAATTTTATTTACATTTTATTTTGTATAATTGATTATTACGGTTTGTTAAGCGTAAGTGCATTGCTGGATAGAGTATGACTTTTTGTAAGAGGAAATTGATTTGGACTTGTTTAGGACTTGGTGAAAAGTCATTTGATGTTTGCCGTACGGGAAGAGGTGGAAGTATTGAAAGAAAAGATAGCAGAACTGATGGACCGCATAAATCAGCTGGAGGCTGAGAATTCAATCCTTAAGGCGCACGCGACGCCGGAAACGTTGGCTCAACTGAGCCCCCAGTCGTCGACGAAATTACCCCAAAACAATTCAGGAAGTGGTCAATAGGTAACCGTTGTACATAAGTTTCTATCAATACTTCGTCAAGTACATAATGGATAATATAATTATTGTATATAACTTTACGATTTTTAGAAATTTATAAATAATGAGATTTATTATATTATAAATATTAGCATTAGAGATTTTTTTTAAGTAAATTAAAGATAATAGATTATTTTTTACTATTTCAGTTTATTGTTTAGGAAATATATTTAATGCTGTAAATTCGATCTTTTCTTTCAAAATGGTGCGGCATTTTGGAAATGTATATTGTTACGACCCCGAGAGGAGGCAAGATTATTTGAGAGTGCATGACATGACGACTGTGCAACCTAAGTAACAATGTTGATATTGTTTTATTATAGAATTGAGGTTCTGAGTATGTTAAAAAAAAAGAATACCTAACGATACGAAGTAGGCAGCTAGCCAGCCATAGCTTATTTTACCTACTACCTACATTACGGAATTCGGCCAATTTTAAAGAAAACCAAAGCCATAATATCATGCGATTGACACTGCGAGCGCAAATTTCTCATTGTAAAAAAAATACTCGTATTAAGGAGTATTACTGAGATTCAATATAATTTCATTCTAACAATTATTACTTGGGTGTTTTTTTTGTTTAATTCCGTCAATTTCCAGTTGAACTTAGAGATTCAAACTAGATTTGTGTACACCTCGCCATTCTCAAAACTCATCGATTACTATTGTTTCTTTAAGGTGGTGCGTAACGTAAGCAGTAACAAAAAAAATCAGACAGCGCACGAGAACTTTCATTAATGGTATCGGTATTTTGAAAAACAAACTCAACATTGTCCTGCCAATATGTTTCAGATAAGCATAACTATTTTGCGCTAAAACGGCAAAAATTCATTCTCTACATTTTACAATTGGAATAACGTTTTCCGTTTCTTAGTTTCTAACGAACTACGATAATTCACGCCGTGCTTTATTCATTAGCTTACTTTTCTCCAATGGTAATGCCCGCCCCCTTAAAAGAGAAAAACGAAAAAAAAACATTGAAACTGTATTAATTGTTCTGTGACTAATCCATACCATCCATTGTTTTTCATGACCGATTAACCACTTTCTCAACATGACGTTCAATAAAAGATTCGTTTCTTTTACCTAATGTATACCTTATCCGTGATACCTCCTTTCATAGAATTTAAATAGTCTAGACAGTATTAGTAGAATATACGTCTGCCCTAAATTTTTAAAACTCAATTGTTATCGCCAGTCAATGTCCGTAATCGTCAATGGCAACAACTCATGATAATTCAGAAACAGGAAGGAAGTAATCACATACCAAAATGAGTATTCTTGTAACTCACAAGAGGATAAGACAAGTATATTTACAAGAATACAATAATTTTTGAGAAAGTTTTATTGGGTCGCTATAAAGGCTAAATATGACACTTTAACATAAAACCTTATTACGATGGAGACCACTTCTCGATAATAGAAATCATAATTCGTAATTACACCTTATAAATTTATAAATGTTATAAATTTGCCTAGGAAGGAAAGGAAAGTAACAACATATAACTTTGTTTTTTGTTTCTTATATCATTACGAATAATGCAACTTCCTTTTGGAGCTAATGCGTACGAACGTGGGCGGCTTCGGCGGCGGCGGCGGCTCATTACGACTGCTGCCAACCGAATTCATACGAATCCAAAGTTCTTTGTCTTGATGGCAAGAAGTAACTTATGACGCAATACATGACGCGAGCTGTACAACGGAACGTACAGACGTGAGATACAAGTATTCGCGGTTGGTAAATGAGCATCGTCGGCTGGTCGAATAGTCACACTGGGCATAGGTTGAAAACCATCCTCGCTAGCCGGGAGTGCAGGAGAACCAGTCCAGAAGTATACCTAAAATGAAAATAATAAAAGCACAAACAGATTAGAAGAAAATTCTGTATTGTTGATGACCAATTAATAGTCTTGATCGCGAACTACACCCTGTATATACAGATGGAAACCTGACACAGTGAAGTCCGTCGAATCGTTAACTCACCAAATCTTGTCGCTCTACGTGTGACATCTTCTCGACGATGGACCATAGCCACCGTTTGAATTTGACTAGCCGATCCGTCGATTCTCCGGATTCATCATTGAATGACGTATACGATATTAGAACGGAAACGTTAATGTCGCCAACTCCGTTCAATAGGAGTCTCAAGTCTTCTGAAGTTAGACCATCCAATGCACCATCAGGGAGAACGTCGAAAACACCCTCTCGCATTGCTTCCAAGGCCTTCTCCTGGACCTTTATCATGCGGACTTCTGCATACTTGCGAACGTAATCGTAAACGTTACTAGCTGTCACTTCCATATCACGACCATTGGGCACTAGTTCAATCGATCCACCTCCTTCTTCAGGGCACAGGTCAATACTACTCAGAAAATAACAATATTTGTTACAGCTACTGTAGCAATATATCGACTATATAAACAGAGTATGGATCATTAGTCTATCCTGTGTTCCTGTAATGAAAGTGTTTACCTGAACGTAAGATCAAGTGTAGAGAACAAACTGTTGCTATCCTTAGTCTCAGCATCGATCACCAATTGTCGGAGACTCTCGTAGATCACAGAATCAAAGAAGGCAAGATCGTGGAAGCGTATCGGCCTCCCCAGGATGTACTTGATCACGTGCCGGTTCAAGAATATTGGGCACAATTCATTTTGTAGGAGACAAAGGCCTATCAGTCTGTTGTACAGAATAAATTATATGCTTGAGAAATTAATTCTGCAAGACGCTTGACGAATACAAAATGTGAGTCACGTACCTGCCCACATTTCTGAATGCATTTAGACGCTCGTAACTGGCTCTTCCTTGTCTTGGCGTATAAAATCCTCTTTTCCCCGGGGAGTAGAACAGAGGTGCATTGTCTTCGGTGTCGTCCAGGATGCTGTTCTCCATTTTCTTTTTGTTAGCACCGCAACGTTCGGTTAGACTAAACACGTCCAGGTCGAGTAGTGCCTCACTTGCCAAATCCTGATTGCGACTATGAATTAATTCAAATGCCTCCTCGACCTTCTGCCGAAGTGCATCCTCTGAAGCTAGCAGCATCAGCAATTGTGCCGGTGGCAGTTCTAACAACATTCCTGTTATTTTCTCAGCCAGTGTGGATCGCAAAGCATGTACCTGGTTAAAAAATATTATCCAGTTTAATTACATAACCCTTATGTGATAAAGATTGTCGATTGTAGAATTTGATGTATAAGGAAATTCGCAGAAAGAATTTATGCCCGTACCTTGGGATAGAGTCTGTTGCCAAGTTGTTCCTGCTGCATTGTTAAATGATCGTTACTAGGATGACTGACTGGTAATGGGTGAGCACTTGATGATGAACTACCAGGACCTGATCCACTAGCACCTTCCACAGAGACAGTAGGATGGAAGGAACGAGCTTCGAGAGAAAGCGCTCTGCGTGTCTCTCGACATTTTCCAGAAGATCGTGGATTCTGTAAATATAAATACGAAGGTTCAATACTATTCTCTTTTTTTATATTAATGACATTCTTTAATAACTTTTAGAAATTACCTGTCGCCGGAGGTCACGATCACGATCTCTACTTTTCAATTTTTGTAATACGTTATATTGCGTGTATTTAGATCCGACCTGCGCTGCTTCCAGATTCGGAAGTTTTTCATTTGCTAATAAAGCCTGCGAATGACGAGAAAATATTTTACTCGTTTCACGCGATAAGTTATTGGCATAATGTTGAAGAATGATTTCTTTCTTCTACAAACCTCTGCGATCGCCGTATAAAAACTTCTAGTTACACCAGATCCTTCACCTGGTTCATCTTTGAATGTCACTTTTATCCTATTCACTGCCAATGGCGGTGTGTTAGAAGCTCTCCTATTGTAGAGGTTGTACTGTGTATTTAATTCCTTCATCGTCTGCACTAGCAATTGCGTCCTGTCGCGTTCAACCTAATTACACATTCAAAATTTAGCATATTAAGTAAATCCTTGTTTTACTATCCTACTGTATAAATACCTTAGATAAGGTAATGTCCTTTTGTTGTGAATTTCTCAACTTCTCCATGTCCCTGCGGAATTTAACTTCCTTAACTGGAAAACCACCCAGCTCGGACACCACAGATCCAGCTTCCAGTCCAACATCCTCCATAAAAACTCGACCGAATAGATCAAGGGAAAGTCTCCAACGTCCCAATAAGATATTATGAGATATATTCGGCCCGATTGATGACACAGCTCTGGCAGATTCTACAGGACTTGTCTCGACGGTTTCATGAGCTGATATTTCATGGCTCGAAGCAGCAGGATCTACTTCCTCAGATACATTTTGTGCCTCCACTGTAGGCACAACCAATACTTCAGGAGCTCCAACTTTATTTACACTTGGTTCCTGTTTAGATAACATCAATGAGTATTTGGCAAATAAGAATCATTGATGAATTTTTAAGATTTATCATTTACCGATACTGTTCCTGCCCTGACGATGACACTTCTGCCATTTTTACAAATATCCTTGCCCTTAGCAGTACCTGCATCATTCTGACTACTGGGTGATACAATGATAGGAGCTCTATCCACTTGCTCAGTTATCATAGGCTGCTGATTGTCAGTCGTTTGATTAAACGATTTTGGTTTCTCCTATGAGAAGAATATCTCGACATAATCTCCGTACTATATTCAATGTGAAAATAAAATAATAACTCGAAATACTTACCATGCATTTACTAGGTCCAGGTTCATTGGAACAAACTGAGCTTCGTCTATTGTCCGAGGATCCGCTAGGACCAGGACCCTGTACAACTTGACTGAAAGTTGGCGTTACCGAAGGGTTCTGATTGTCGGTGTTACGCACTGATAGTCCCAACCATGTTGGCAAACCTTCCAAAGGATTTTGATTTGGACCAGTGGTACCCGGTGTTGCTGTAGGTTGTCTTGGGACGCCAAAAAGGTCTTCGCGCCTCGAGTGCGGCTGCAATAAATGCGGCTGATCAGCTAGCGGTAACGCTTCACTCATGACAGTGTCAAAGGGATCGAGTGGCGGGCAACCGAGGCACAACGTGGAGTCCGATCTTTGTAAGAAAGGATGCTTCCTTCCTTTTGCTGTGGTATTATTGTTGTTGCCTGTACCACATATGGGCACTTGAAGCAGGTCCGGATAATCTACTGAATCAGTTTCCATCGCTGTTGCCGCTGGTAAATTGTCTTCCTCGCCTTCCTCATTATCATTTTCATCCTGCGTATAAGAAAGTTAATGTAAAAACTCCGTACAACTGTCGCCATTTAGATGCATTATGCAATTCTTTTAAAGGATCTACTTATACTAACTTGATCATTCCAGGTTGAGTAAGTTGAAGACTCTTTTTGGGCATCCCTTTCCTCGGATAGCGAACGCATGTAGTAGACCAAAGCATCAAATACATAAGCTACGTGTCGCAATGCTGACACGTCCAAAACAGGCAAGCTGTCCCTATGCTCTCCATTATGGGCACGCATTAAGGACAAGCAATAAGATAAAAATTCACGTCTTGCCGAGTTTGCGTCTCCACCTAAAAAGTCAAAATTTTCTACTGCTTTTTTTGCCTTTGAGTTCTCGCGTAACACTTATAAAGCATATACGGTAGTGGCAATATGCGCACAATAGTTGCGAGTACAATTTCAAAAAAAAAAAGAACTTGTACAATTTAATACAAAAATAATAATGTTGAATATCCAAACATAAAAAAAAATTGCTTCATCGAGCAATTTTTCAAAGTGTACACGAATTATCTTCCTATATTATAACCGAATGATATTTCAAATAATGGGATCCGCTTGAAATATTTGTATAATAAAAACAATTTTCATTCAACTAAATCAACATAACAACTGACGATAAGAGTGATTAGAGATTATTAAGGATAAACCAATTTTAGAGAACATGTATGAACTTTAAAAATCATTAAAGGCCTTAAAAGTATGTCTAGTAATTAATCACACTGTAATTTCTAATATATATGTAGCATCACGTAATAACTAGAGTGAACTTGCCAGAAATATTTAAATAAATCCATTATATCGCAGATCTAAATACGTTCCCATGAAATATCATTACCAATCGCTCGTTCTATTCCAATTTAGATATAAGTATTGACAATTAAATATCTATTGAATTATTAGACATACAACATTCCCAATAACGATTATAGAGATGGTATAAAATTATGAAGATAGTTTGTGTACACTTAATTAGTGCAAACCTTCGCGATCCCTATTGTTCCTAGGAGGTTCGCCAACGCCTGTAAAACCAACGGTGAGTCGTGTTGAACCTTGAGTGGTGGAGATATTGGAGGTTGTAGTGATACCACTGCGTTGATTCCGACCTGTATTTCCTTGCAAGGTAAGCGAAAGAGCAGCTGAATTAAGTAATCCTGTAAAGTTTCCTCCGGAGAGCGAGGGTGCATTGTTTAATGGATGTTCAGGATGAGTTGGATCAGCGCTACGCGTTAACGAAACTCCGAATCTTAATTGTGCTTCTGTGGCATCCATTACAGTCAGCAACCAATCCCATGTTGGTTTAAGATGACCTTCCAGATACATCTGTAAAATCGGGAAGATAATTTAGTTTTAACGAAGATCATAATGGTCCACATGGAATCATTAAAAAATAATTTCTAATGACTAATTAACTGCTGATAATTATATTAATCTACGTGCACTTACTTGTAAGGTGGTGGCATCCTGATAGGTAATCTCTATAAGTCGCGGCAGAGCTGGTGCCAAGGTTTTATAATCTTGCATCATTGTGAGGAGATCGGCTATTTGCCTAATCACAATTCCAAATGCTCGTGCCAAACAACTGGCTGTTGTTCCCATGGTAATTGGTTCCTGGGCAGCTGCCACAGCAGAAGTAGCGGTCGAACGTCTTAGAGAGGAAGGATCTATGAATACTAAGTTGTTGCTACTGGCCATTCTCAGGCCTGCTGTGCGGGTGCTTGACTCTCGATTTCGTATAGCCCATTGCATCGAAACAGGGGCGAGATTGTTACGATGAGAATGACTGGTAGAACCGCTGAAACGAATTATTACAAATCTATTTACCCTCACTGCCTGATCTAATACGTAAAGACGCACAACACTTAAATAATATTATTCATATTCTTAGTTATTATGTTAATAAAATGATAATCACGGCGTAAAAGAAACTCATTTGCAAGTATTCCTATTATTGAGGAATCTTTTAATACTGTATATTATCTTAATCAAAAGACACATAAATCTTAAAATATCAAAACTTCAAGATACCTTCTGCGTTCAAGTTGCTCATCGGCAATTTGGAACTCGTCATTGTCCTGTTCATCGGTTTCACCAGCTTCACTCTCATCATCTTCTTGCTGACTGGACTCTCCGGACTCATCTTCAGGGAACAGAAGAATAGATCCCATACCGCCGTCGGATCCTGCCGTTGCCCCAGTCTGTACACTACGTTGGGCGGATGCTGCATCCTGATTGCTGTGATTGTCATCCGAGTCAGATTCTGTTTCTGGTTCTGCTAGAAGATCTAACTCTGTATCTGATTCGCCGTCTCCAGTTTGTTCTTCACCGACACCTCCAGCATTGCTATCTACTTCTCCAAGAGGTTGTCCAGCTACAGCACCAAGAACTCCTGATTCTTCATGCTCACTTATATCTCCGTCCATGTCCATTGGAACTTCTATAAATCCGAAAGTTAAATTAAAGATAAAAATAGCTTTTTCTGTAAATTGTAAACGGTTATTTTGTATTCAAATTACCTTCACCACCCTCTGCTTCATCTATAGCAGATACATCTCTAGCAATTGTAATATTATTATTGCCCTGTTGAGTTTGCAAAGCAGCATCCAAAATTTGAGAACTGACGCCACTATGTGGAATTAAAGGCTCTATCGAGAAAAGTTCTTCAGACCCGTTTATGACTTCAATGGTTGAGCTAGTTAATGTGAAAGGAGCAGTTGGACGAGCAACGCCCAAACGTACAGGAGCTATTAAGGAATCAGCTGTTTCACATAATTCTTCTACAGCTAATTTAATCAGTGCTTGGAATACACGACGGCACTTCATCAGCGGCTGTGAAGATTGACTGACGCTGAAAAAAAATATATTCATTCACCATCTTTCACCACCGACCTCTTTAAAAAAAAATAATAAAAAAATCAGTATACACACCCTCTTCGCTTTGTTGTGTTTGGTGCCATTTCTACAGTGAATATAACAAATATTCTTGCAACGGATCTTACAAACCGACGTGCCACATGATTTGCTTCCTCCTGGCGACCTGGTACCGATTCATTTTGCAATTCTCTTATAAGTGTTGTGAGTAACGTGTCTAGCATCTGAAGATTATACAACAATTTTATTGTAATCGAGCATTAGCTAATTGATTTAATAAATAATCATTTTTCGAGCAAAAATAATTACCTCTGCACTGCACTTCACTAACAAAGTGTGAGTGAACTTGTCTAGCAGAGCGGTACCACTTTGTCTACAGGATTGTCCTTGGTCTCCAAACAGTTGATCATTCGAATTCTCCGAGACACCAGACATTATCATACATTGCACGGCTGGCCAGTCATTCAAAAGTCTTTCTAAAGCTCTTCGACTGAATCGTGGTGGCTCCAGATCGTGATCCGGCATGTCTAAATCAGCACCCAAACCTGAGAGGAACACTATATGGAAGGTACATTTTTTTGGGCAACAAAAGCACAGCTTATTCCTTTCATTTCGTATCACCGAAGGACCGTTTCATAGTTGCCTTCCTTCGTAATAATATTACATAGTCTTAAGAAGATACTGATTTTGTTGTGAAAGGAATAATAATAACTTTGCTTTTAGCCACTTACATGCTAAATAATACGAGTATCCACAGAAGTCACATAGAGCCTAATTCAATATTAAGAAAATAAATTCACTGTAATCTTTAGCAAAACTAAAACTACTTACCATCGGACGACGGAGTCTTGCGACTGGCGGAAGTCGAACGCTGTCGTGGTGCTGACCGGAACTGTCGTTGTTCTACTGATTGTCTTCCTACAGTTTGTACGAGGAACAGCAATATACTTTCACCCCTGTAAATATTAATGAAATGATTACTCAAAGTTTATTGCACGTCTAATACATTGCAAATTTAATACACTTACCGAGAATTAATTTTTGTAGCAAGGTCAGTATTAGTAACAAGACGACACAGAAGATCGTAACGAGCACCTTGATGTCCAGCAATGAGAGCACGACACTTGCATTTCTCCCAGCAATCGCAATAAGCTGTTGGTGAAGTTTTTTTAAGTTTACAATCGTGTCCCCTGTGACAGACTCTTGCACATTCGGTGCAGCAGCATAAAGATCCTGTTAGACCACAGGTTCTACATTCGAAGATGTCCTGTAACATATAGTTTTGTAGTGTTGTACTTTAATGACACTTAATAATTCGCATTACGTATGCGGAGTTCTACATACCTGGTTTATGTGTTCAGCACCTGTCCAAGTGAAGCTGCAGGTATCATTGCAGCAGGTCACAAACAATGGTGACAAATCAGGACTCGCGTCAGACGGAAGGATCATAGCTGAACAATCCTTTCCATCTCTTCCAACTCGTTGAATAGTATCCAATAGAATGAGAGCAGCATGATATGCTCTTACAGAAACAGCAAGCATTAATGGTGTCTGACCTTGTGCGTCTCTGTGAAATAGAATTGATTCCACGTTAATGAGGTTAAAAAATAAAGTCGCACGAACTGTACGAGTAAAAAAATACTATATATTCTATACCTCGCAACTAATAAATCCTTGAGGTGTGGTGCTAATACGGGATTTTCACACATGTACTTCAGTATCATTAAAGCATTGTTTCGTCTCTCAACTGAATCAACGATATAAGTATTATTTGACGCGGATCCTACACCTGAAATAAATATGGTGGACACGTAAGAACACTTCTAGAATAGTGAAAAGTATTAATCACAAACAAAAATAATTGTTACCAGTCTTATTCATCATAGAAATACTAGCTGCACCTATACTCAAAAGACTGTCTTCCTCTCCAGATGTATTGTCAAATGCCTCTGCGGACCAACTTAATGTTGGAATAGGTTCTTCGATAGGAGTAGAATTGCCATCGACAGCATTAGTTACTAGTTCACGTTCAATACCTTTATATTTGAAAATTGTAATATTATAGAAAATGACAGAATCATATTCATTTAAAAAAATTCTTTGAATTCATACCTTGTTCATTTTCTTTGTTCGATGTTGGAGAACACATATTGACGCATGCGTGCAGAATGTTGCGATTTCCGTCACAACGCTCTGTTAAAATAGTTTGAATCTGTCCTGCAGTACCTTCTGTAAATAAAACAATTAGCAATTAAAAGCTGTTAATTTAATTGGTGAGTCAGTGGCACTTTTTTTTACGACGCTTTTACTTACTTAGATCTTGTTCGAGATTCACAAAGACTTGTTTAACTCCATCGTAATCACATCTAAGTATACGAGGCATCAACAACAAGTTATCAAATACTAACGCTATGACAGCTACTTGGTTTTTTAGATTTGTCGAATTGGTGCAACTTGGAATTGGAATGGTTGAAGCTCCAATACATAATATTGGCACAAGATCGATCCAATTCGGATCACGAATCGCCTCTGCACAATCCTTGGCGATGGGATAGATAGTGTTATTACCATCGCGAAGAATCATAGAACATTCGTTATTCTGAAAGGTAATAAATATTGTTACTTTATTCAAAACACGAATCAGATTGAAACAGAAGATACGGGTTTATTTTATTTACCTCGCCAGCACTCGTGAGACTAATATTCTGAGGTTGCAGTCCCAAGAAAGATGATATTTCTGATGGAATATAACAATCTTGAACGTACCGTCCAGTACTCAAATTGTAAACCACATAGCTCAATTTATTTCCATTTTTTAATATAGCATGGATACCTGCAAATTAAGAAAAATGTAAGAAATTTAATACACGAAGTTTAGTGATACAATTTCTGTTTGAATAATAAATTGGACACATGTTATACCTTGACCATCGGTAGAGATAGTCAACAAACTCTCATTGGAACCCTCTAGGATATTGACCCTTCTGGGTGTTCTTTGGAAACAATCTGGAGCTCGAGAGTTTAGTGGTGACTTAATCACCTAAAAGAGAAGAAAGAAAAAAGTTATTTTATTTAAAGAAACTTTAATAAGAGATTCATGATGATAGAAGTAGAGCACATTATACAATATTTCACCTGCAATTCATCCTTACGCAAGAGTCGACAGTCAGCAAGTAACTTAATCAATTCTTCGGCAGTCAAATCCTTGAAGTCTGAACTACTAAAATCTTTCTCTTTAGTTTCCTTCTCCTTTTCCTTTGAATCCTTCGAAAAGAATTTCACAGCAACATAACAGCCATCGACCTTAATAACTTTTCCTATAAAATAATATAACCAATTAAACATAAACAATCCGATGGAATGAAACAAAAAAAAATATTTGATGTATCTAGAATATTACCAATAGGTACAGTTTTAACGTCCTCGACGAAAACAACATCTTTTAGTTGCCAATCTTCTTCGTCCTTTCTCTCAGATTCACCTTCACTTCTAGGAGCCATACGTTTTTGTCGCTCTGAAAGGGATATTGCTTTATAAAAATTAAATGTGCAAATCAACCAACAAATAAATCTATCTCAAAGATCTACTAGTTAATAAACAGCAAAAACGCATTTAAGACATACTGTGACTAGTTGTAATGCTGCCAGTATCACTGCAAGTGCTCGAAGCAGGTGAAGGTGGTGGAGGCATATCAAGTCGATCAGCAGTTTCCTTATGATTTGTTTTACTAGTACTGCCTGTGCTGCCATTTCCATTAGTTTCTCTTTTTTCGGGAGGTGTAGTAGGCAACAAAGTACCAGCAGGTAAAATTTTAAAACGACAAACAGCATCCAAATTCCAGGCTGCTGATAACAGTTGCCCAACCTTAGGAACTCCATTGGCAATTGTGAAACCTAATAAAAAAAGGAATATCGTTAATCAATAAATTAAATATGATGTATACAAACAATTTTATATGCATCAATTATATTAAATAAAAGTAACTTCTTTTGGAACAAATGTAAAACTCTGTTGATATTTCAATCACGTTTGGACATACGATGCTTTCGTAACAGTGATAATTCATAAGCAATCGTAGATAGCTGAATATTTACCAATGGCTCCCGGTTGATAGATGGGACTATTCTTCATACAAACGTGCCTGCCGTAACTGATATCTGTCGATAATACAGTTGACGGCCTGTGTTTACGCGATTTAGCCTTGTACTTTTCCCATAACTTCTTCCTCTGGGCAAATGGCAAAACTCCCCTATGAATCAAACAATACATTACACAATGAAAAACTGTATTGTCTGAATTTAAAGATAAAAATTGTTGATAAAAATGAAATAGAAAACTAACCACCAATAGAGCGCCCCACTCTCCAGTCTAGCAACAGTGTACAGAGCACAAGTGTGAAGAGAGATAATTTTATCTAAAGTAAATTCAGTAAATGCTTGTGCCGGATGTTCTAGACGGGAAGCTACATGCCCGAGGAGTTCGTCAAGCCATGTTGCGACTTTCCCACTCTCTGTACTGACAGAACAGCGAATTGCAGTGGCGGATATATTCACGATTTTCTCACCCATCAAAGCCAACGGGATACTTTTTGGATGGTGCACATTCGGATTCTAATATAAAAGATATAATGTATAAAAATCTTCTGCAGTTTATTACTTAATGTCAAGATACCAGGAAAGTGTATTATTGTAGACTGATGTACCTCAGGATGTTTGTATGGTTCAGGATCGGCCCATCTCCACTGGTATAATTGGCCAGTTACAGAAACGGCAATTAATTCGCTATAAAGGGCAGCAATTTGTACAAAGCGAGGTGCAGGCTCTCCACTACGTTCATGCCACCATTCCAATTCCTCTGATATCCATAAAGGACTTTGAGATACCAGTTCCTTTTTTTTATTATCTTAAACATAAGAGGAAGATTAGGAAGTGCTATTAGATATCAATAAACAGCTGACTCTTATCAAAGCATTCAAATCTGGTTCGACCAGAGAACCAACTTCTTTCTATGGGTAAGCTTTCATATCAATAGTTTAGTTACCAGGATCTTTCTCCCATGAATCCTTCAGGGCAGTTTCTAACCATCTACGTGGACCGTAATATTGACGATCCCTCCATCTGCTAAAACTATCTCGGTCTCTTTCGCGTTCTGCCGGTCTCTCACCGTCTCTATCATTTCCAAGTCTTCGTGATGAACTGCCACGACTATGAAGAATATTTCATTGAAGTGTACTAATCCTGGTGTATTTTTTAATTTTTAATTTGTACTTACCTTCTCATGCCTGCGTAACCGAACATGTCTTCAGAAAACATAGAATCAGCATCTATGATGACTGAGTGCTCATTGCTGAAGCCACCATCGAGTAACGATATAAGATCTTCGGGTACGTAACTGTCAGCAGCATCTTCTGCGTCGTCACCTTCCTCGTCGTCCCGTGACAGAAGATTATTCACGGCCAAGTTAACGTCCAGATTCGTACGCTGTAGAAACAATTGATGACAAATAAAACTTATTGGAGTAGTGCATGTAGTAGTGATGATTTACAATTGCATGTTGCATCTTATCAAAAAGGTAACAATTGGCGATCACAGCTAACTATTGCTGTTCTCATAAGAATAAAGTCTGAAATGTGAGAGTGTGACATTTTTACGAATTTGACAAACCTGTAGCTCCCTAATGATCAGATTGCGACTCTTTCCTTGTAAGACTACTTGAGCCTGAGAGATTAAATCCTCTGGAACGAACGGAGCCGGTACGGAAACTATAGGTCGAGAACTGCTTCCACCACCTCCGCTCATTATTACACCAGGTGGTCCAATTCGGCCACCGCTTCCTCCACCACCTCCACTTCCACCGCCCCGAATTGCAGAACTGCTACGCATAATTCGCGCACGGGATCTGATACCTGCACGTCCGCCTCCGCCGCTACCGCCACTTCCGCTTGGTGCAGAACTTGAATTTCCAACGTGGCTCTTACTGGTACTGATGTAATTAAAAGTTAACTTATTATAATACACTACTCTTTGAGAGAAAGGAAGAAGATAGACAATGATCCTTAATGAATTCTATGCTTACTTTCGGTTAGGTTCATTTTTGGTTAGGTCTAATCTGTCTGATAGGACTGTAAAGGCAAGTCGGCAGATTCTGTTGTCTTCCATAAGAAGAGCAATGTGAGTTGGCCCTACTACAATACGCTTAACGGCGACCTTTTGGCCGCTAAGCGCTGGTGGAGTCATAAATCCATATCTGTTAATTTTCTCTGCAACTTCTTTCAATCTGTAAAGTAATACAGATGCTCTTTAATATAGAATTCATAGGAAGGATGAAAAATGATTTAAAAAGTATACAGAGTAAGTAAGTTCTTTTACTATAGCGATAGTTTCTTTCGAATCATTATTACTTTTTTTTCCTAACAGCAGAAAACATAGAACAGTATTAATTACAATTCAAGGAATAAATTAATAATATATTTATATACAAAAATTCATATTTTTTGCAATGCATACATTATTTTTCGAAAATTATATTTTCAGAGTATGAAAATAATAAATTATAGAACAAAATGTATTTTTAGTATCGTTCTGATTATTCTATAAAATGATATTTGTAACATGTATCTTATATGCTAGTATATGGTATTTTCTTTGACAAATGTAAAACAACAAAACATAGTTACTTTTATCCTTTTCACTAATTAGTAGAAAATCACTCGAATAAATGAATCGCATCTATAAGACTATATGCATGTAAGCTTGTAAGTATAAGCTGACACAATGTATACCATGCTGCCAATGTATCTGAGAGATATGCAATGAAAGCATAATACTATCAACATCTACAAAAAAAAAGATAGATATACTACATTACTCATGTAACATGTATCACAATCGTCAAAAAAATTTAAAAAAATCAACTTTTAAATCATATATTAATTTACAACGTACATAATCAATGCATCAAATTATACATAAGAAAGTTCTAGATCAATGATTCAGAATCATTACTAATGCCTACGGTACAGTAACTTCATTTTATGGAATCAATAAATCATTAGTATTATATTTTAGGTTTGTGAATTGAATGAAAAAAGTATATGAAAAATAATACAAAAGAGAAACATCATAATGAAACAATACAAGTAATATTAGAATCGAAATTGTGCCAAAATACTAATGATATGTAGATGGAATTGCATGACTAAAGCAAAACACAAATCATCCATTACAGAATATAACAGTATCAACCAAATGTGATTCATAAAGTAATCATCAATTATAATACAAAGAAAGATTCATGAAGAAAAAGTAAAATTATTTACAGTAAACGATAGTTCTAGAAACGTGTCCATCTAGGCGTTAGAACTCCTGCGTGCATTACTCAACAGGGATGCAATTATCTGACAGCAATCATGTACGTCACTATACTGAGGGGATGAATTAATGCAGAATGAAGGAAAAAATACGAGGCCTTGAATAAGTTGATAAATAAAAGAAGGTACAGTGCTAATGTACGAAACAAGAACGCCGACACGTAGCCACGTAAGATTGAAGAATCGGAGTATTCAGTACGGCGCAAAGGACAGGCATGCGAAACGATGCGTTAATGCGAAATCAAAAGGCCACAAAGTTTTTCTTACCTATCATTAAGCTGATCATCGGTTCCCGGTAATGGATGAACCACAAAGTGTATCGAAGACATGATGTCTTCGTTTTACACTCTCGCACGGCTTTAGGATTTCTTTTAATGCTCCTTTACACAGAATTTCACTATATCAGCGGAACGATATGCAGCCATGTTTCGGGAGAAACAACCAGTTACGTGTTCTCGAAAGCAAACATGGCGAGTCGATTAAGCGTTCATAAAAACGATGTAAAATGTTCAACTCAACGGAAAATCATAGACGATATAATAATGTGAAGAGAAACCTTAACAAAATTCAATAACGCTTTGTTTATGTCCAACAGGCGAAGTTGAACTATGTAAAAATATGCAAAAACATTTGCAATTAATAAAATTACAAATTAAACACAACGAAAACCATTTGCATTGTGCTCTTATAGCCACAATATTATTACATCGAATAATTTATAAGTACCACAATTCAATTTTTCCTAATATAATTATAATTCAAGTATAAATTTAAGTATAGCTATGTTTAGGTAGTATCAGTTCTGTTAATTTCTCTTAATTAAAATTTGTACACAATCCCTGACACTCAAATGTATTCATGTCGTTTAAATAATCGGATCGATATTTGAAATAAAAAAATATAATCATACCAAATATTATAAATACAATGTTTCTCAGTCGGTATATTCGTACAGATCATTTGTGTCTGATGATACTTGGTTCACGTGTGAACGTCCGCTTGCAGTACACTGCATGGCTGTAGATTGTAGCTCCTTGGCTGTTCGGGACCGTGCTCGCACGTTTGCCACTTGCCTTTATTAATTAGTAAGAAAGATAAAATTCAGGCGTGAGGCAGATCGTGCACCAGGAAACGTGAGGCGTGAGGAGGATTCATCAAATACGCAAAGAAGATACTCCATTCTCATTCGACTGCCTCATCGTCTCTGCACGGTCAGGTAAGCGAGCGGGAACCTCGCGCACGTTTAGCCTGGAGATTATTTTCGGAAAAATCCTGGCTGCCAGAGTTTTACTAATTTTGAGATCATTTTCATTGTGTTAATTAACACGTTGTCATCCTCGTGGGTTATAGCTTTGCGCTGCTTACACGAATATTTAAATGACCTTTTTGGTACCAGATGTTTAGATATTGGAATCATTTCATATTGGTATTTCGGTCAATGCATTTTTCTATGTCAGAAAGAAAGTCTCATCACGAGAGAATAGAAAGGATGATGACGATAGCATTGTAAGTTTATGGCGTATAGATCTACGTTCATTATTAGATGATTTAAATTAACAATTCATGATTCTTCAGTATGTAATGTTATTGATAAATATTTCGCGCCGAATTATTTATGGGCAAAGGGTAAGAAAACTAAATAAACTTGAAAACCTATTTCTTCTTTAAATTTATACAATATTTATGCACAAGTTATTGACTCTTTCTTTTTTTAAATATACTTCACTTTATTCTAGTCACATACTTATATACTGGTTCCCTTTGTATTTCGTAAATTGTCAACACTTATTTCCAATGGGCTTAGAAAAAAATTAGAAATAACTGCAGGAAAGAGCTCGAGAAAATATATTATGTTCAAGAGTGATCTTGAACAAATCATTATCTCTTTGCGGAATTAATAAAAATTGAAAGTTAGCTACTATGTGATACGGATAAGGCACTGATTTTATTTTATTGTATCACAGTAGGAAATATTATGTTTAGTAACATTTTTATTGATATCGAAAACAATTTAGTTTTTACTCTTAATATTGAAAAGTTAAGAAACTTGATGTGCACTATAGTTTATATACATATCAGAAATATACAATAAGGCAGAGTATGTAATTAATTTATTGGTAGGATGCATTGTATCATTCCAAAGCAAGAAAGGATGATCATTCATCTATGCAAACTCTGATGCAGAGTAGAGCATCTGATAGGGTAAGCACAAAATTTATTTTATAGAGCTATGTACAATGTTTTGTGTTCAAGGAGAACCCTTTGAAGGGAAAACACCATTTTACTCCAATGGAACATAAAGTAGTATGGCATTTCATCAAACCACATACATACAACATAATATTTATAATTGATCTTTCTTTCTTTCCACAGAATGGCACGTGGACAGCAGAAAATCCAGTCACAGGCCAAAGCAGCTGAGAAGGCTGCAAAAGTAAAGAAGCAACAAGGTCATAGTGCCAATGACCAAAAGAAAGCTGCACAGAAAGCCCTTGTTCATGTCTGTGCAGTATGCAAGGTTTGTAATAAATCTTATCAGAACGTTCTATCTTCATCCTATCATCAACCAGACAGTACTCTTATCTGCACCATATATGTCTAACAATAATTTAACATATCTGCTTACAAGATAGTATTGAAATAGATAATTTCTGAAATTACATATTCATATTCTTATTTAGGCACAGATGCCAGATCCAAAAACCTACAAACAACACTTTGAAAACAAACATCCGAAGAATGACCTGCCGGATGACCTAAAAAATATATGAGGGTAGAGGTCCTTTACACTCTTGTGGATAGGTGGAGAAGAGGAAACAAAAGGAGACGAGAACGCCAGTTTGTGCAACTAACTCACGACGTGATATAGTTTAAGATTCATCTAACAATTGATTAACTTCAAACAGAGAAATAAATTACACTCCATTGCTGCGTTATCAAGAAACCTCAGTACATGGAGTAAATTTTATGCACAATCCCATTAAGTCATAAAATCAGTGGTTTAACTGAATTCAAAAATAAATAAAAAAACAAGTGACTTCAGAGTCAAAGCACTTTTTGAAAAATGTCCGAAACACACATGGAATTGCGCTTAGCCGTAAATAATTGACAAAGTCTGTACCATGGTTGTGAAACGTTACAGATAAACAGTGTATACCCGGATTTCGCGGACGTACACGCTCAGCTGAATAGATTCATATGCAATCTGAAATAAGGCTATGAAAAAGAAAAGTAAAGTATTATTGACAGGACTCTTTTTCGACGAAGATGCTTCATTTTATACAATCGATTGCTTCTCTTTCACGTAATTTATCGAAGATCTTTTGCCCAAGTTTATACATTTTCCTTTCTGTAAAGCAATGGATTCTATAAAGCATTTACTCTTTAGGTCATCAAATCACCTGTCCATCATCCAAGAAAGTAACTGCAATCAATGGTTAATTCTTAATATATTGATTGTGTAGCTTATGAAAAAGTTAGAGAAATAATATTCCTCGTTAATTATCATACGAAAATATGTAAATAACGACTGGAAAATAACTGCCAAGGTCCGGTCTGCCTGTGATCATCCTTTTTGAAAGTCTTTTACTTAATTTTACATTTTAGTCAGGCCTCAAATACAATAATCAATTATTTTTTGTGAAATATCATCTGCCTACCGTCAACAGATGATTCTGATTACCTTAATCTGTTAAACTTCATTTGCGTTGTGACTATTAAAATAGTAATGAAGCCTAAGACAATTTATATATATTAGTTATTCAATTTTGACGGCTATCCGAATCTAACTCATAACTTGCGGTACGTAATTTACCTGCGATATTGATCAAAAATGTAATTAATTTCCTTAATCATACTTGAGTTAATACTGTGATGACGAACGGTCATTCTAATTCCAAGTAAATTACCCTGCTGATTTTTACGAATTGAGGAATGAGTGCCAAAAATAGTGAACAGTATCTTATGTCAAGTATGGTTTTGGAAACCATTAAAGTCGATCATATGGTGTTAAAATAAAGGATAAGTGTCTTACAAAATTCGTATTGTAAAACAAATGTCCTCATCTTCAGATATAACTATCAGCGTTCGTTATCGGTAGGGATAATAAAAAGTTCAAGCAAATACTTAATAACTTTTGGGATAATTATATGGCATCATGTATCTTGTATTGTCCTAATTACATTATTTTACATCATATTGCCGTTTTGTCACTCAATCTGATTGTGCACCGTTGCGGGTAATTGTACACTTGTAATTTTCTGTCGCGTAAACCATGTGATTCGTTTGAAAATGACTCTTATGAAAGAACAAAGCAGATATGACATCAATCTAATAAATTTTATTGGTCGTTAATCGATAACAGTTTCATATTTCTCTTGAACTAAGTCTGCCTGTAAAATATGCACTTTGTACCCTTATTTATTTTCCTATGATAGATTTATCAAGCGAATTAAAAATTAAATATTAATTTTGATATCACTAGCAGGGCAGTACTTAATGTTTAATTAATTTTAACAATCAAGTTACTAGCGTATTATTGTAAAATTTAATTAATGAATATAAACGGAAAAGATTTATAAAATTTATATTTAAAAAACAGTTTTAGTTATTATTTATCTAAAACACTGAATAGAATTTATGTATTGCAAAACAAAGTTTGAGATTGATCGTTCATATCAACCTTGAAAAAAAAAAAAAATTAAACGTCAAACGCTTGGAAAGAAATATGAAGACCTTGAAACGCGTCTAGTTGTTCTACCCTATTATACACGGAACTATACAAGATGCACGTAACAACAAAAAGCAACAATACCCTATCGTCATTAACGAACAGGTGAGTTATAATACCTCAAGATGATATAGTACGTAATAGAACATTGAAATAAAATCATCCTATATAATGAGTTATCCCAACAAGCATTATAAAGAATCATTACATAACATAAAACAAATTTATTAAACAAAACCAGATAATGCTAATTGCGCCACAATATTTATACAAAAACCTTACATACGCAATTTGGCCAACTGAAATGAAGTCGTCTTTGTTGACTCCACAAAACCGGAAAGACGAAAGGAAACGCATAAGAATATTACGTATTTTTCATTTTTTCCCCAAGAAACGGAACTTCGAATGACATAGGCTGATCACCCTGATTACGCAAGAAATACAGGAAAGTTGACATACATACATTTCGGAATCTGGTTTTCACGTGGCACAATAGTATACTTATTCATCAATCTGATAATGACGTCAGACGCCTGCTTCACGCCGATTGGTTGATACAAAGGCGAGCCTCTACAATCCCACCATTCGCTGACCTCGCACTGACAAGCCCGCAAATACGTTATGTATGTATATGCCAGCCTTTTGATTTGATCGACATTAATTATTGTTTTTTTTTATCGCGGAACAATATTGCGAAAGCTACAGAATGTCGCAAGGACCAAAACGAGCACAGCACATATTTATTTCCTTGCGACTGTGTCTTACACAACATCTGAGTGCAATAACCTAACATTATTTCGTGCCTACACAAACAAATCTATTATTGTTTGCTTTTCATGGTAAGCAAAAAAATTATTCGCCAACAATACCTTCAAAGTTCTTGGAATTTTATGCAATTGAATGGAATCGACCTTCATGGTTTACGCAACTCCTAATCGTTTTCTTAATGCAATGTCAAAGTCATTATTACACCAGGACGAGAGGTACACGCTAACGTAATTAAGGGATAGATATGTTTTACTGAACTGTACATTATGTAGAGTGAAGTATCGATTTGTACATTGAAGAATTAACACGAAGGTCTAGAGAATTGAATATGGTTAGAATTTATCAAGATCGTCAAGAATTCATAAAGGATTGGTATAAACTGAGTAAATATACTTTCGTAGTTTTAGTTTTTATCTGCCGCCAAAGAACAGACTAATTTCACGAGAAGGTTGACTGGCGCACTAATAAATGAAAGGAGCAAACCATCAGAAGATAATGTGCGAGGAAACAGTCGTGATAAAATTGATAAATTACACATTTTATTCTGACTTAAATTCTCATCGCCTGTCAATTAAATAAGGAATTCATATGATAACAATCAAAATTATATTTACAAAATTAAAACGTAGCTGAGTATATATGCTTTAGAAAAAAATCTTTCACGTTCAATAAATAAAGTCACATCGAACCCCCGCTGATAATTTGCTCACGCTTTTTCATATTCATGTACACCAAGAAAATATTAGTAAAAAGAATCAGCCCCTGTGTATTTTATGTCTAAAACGAAACGTATCGCATTTCAACTCCCTTCAAAACTTTTTTGCTGATGTAACACTTGTCCCATTCCCAGAGTGCCCACTAACTGTCAGACACAAAGTACACTAGTCGTCTTCTCGGCACCATGTACAAAATGCACACTTGCCAATAAAATCCACCACGCTCACTCAATTTTTAAACACAATCACTCTACCCACCTGAAGTTCGCCTGTTCTTTTAATTTCTATGGTAGAACCATCTTCATATGGTAAATTTTTCGTGAATAACCCCATACACATTCTCGTATTTCAAAGTAATAGAAAACGCACGCTATTTGCCAATGGAAAAGCCAGAGATATTCGCTTTCATGAATATTCGATAATTTGGTCATACATCTTAATAAGTGACATACGCTGTTACTATAGTCGCAATAGCATTGAAAATCCACATGTGTATATATACGTATCATATATGCGAACAATGGCCGACGCTAATTAGAAGCGATAAGCAAAAATTGTCAATATACAGGATATATGTGGTAAGCCTGAATACGTGTCTAGTTTAACGTCCACGTCTATTGTTCTTTATTTCATACGAAATTTTATGAGTGACCTAATAGTGACGAATTAAACTGTTCGCCTATGCCATACTTTTCGGTAACTAACCTTAAATGGGAAGAACATTCATTAAGGATCTTGCGTGTAAGATTTCGTGCGCCATAATTTTCATGTATACACACTCACACATATATATATATATATATATATATTATAGGATGGGATTTCTAGCAGTTGTCCTGATTACAGCTCGAATCAACTGGCTCTTGCGTTCGTCCATTCCTTGTTTCACCCATCGATACACCACATACACTCTCACACGATACACACAATACACGGTCTCGCACTCATATTCGCTCTCTAAAAAAAAATATATTTTTGTACATCCGGTGGATTAGATTGCATGGACTTTTCGTACAGAGCGAATAATTTATGAACTTTGCGTAAGATAGTAAGACTCATTCATCCGTCATAGTTCTTTCTAGACTGTATCTAAAAATAAGGTAACTAAAACGTATCCTTAGCCAATATCGAGTATAGTGTTAACGGTATAGGAATAAGTTTATACGGAATATTCTAGTGTCTAGAGATATTCGAGTGGAAATTTTGACCCTTGGAAACAGGATATAGTCAACGGTGTGTCATATGTATGTTATCTGTGTTAAATAAATAAAGTCGAGATAAGGGATACATATATACGTGTATATCAAATAACGAGTTCTTTATTTCGACGAACTTTTTCACGAGTAAAATTCATCGAAAAGTTTCGACTTCTCGTTCGTAATTTCATCATCGTCCTCGTTGGTCATGACGAGCGACAGGGAGTACCCGCAACTCATCCCGTAGTTTAGCGAAGAAGGGGAACGTTGAGAATTGCGTATCCAGCACTGTTACCATGCGAATTTACCGTGGAAAGGGCGTACTGCCGTTCTCTGCACTGATTGGTCGAACGTGGCGAGCCTCTGTTCGACTGAAATGACCTTCGCATTCCACGAGATTCATTGGCGCCACCGGAGACTCGTGTTCTTGCACGGAGTCATCGTCACAGACCTCCCTATCAGTACGAATTATTATGGATTACAAAAAGAATTTATAGGTTAGATAACTATAGGTGGGGATAAGAAAAAAAAATGTATATACATGAATTACAGACTGAATAAACATGATATGCAGGTTAGAATAGGAATAGACTATTTTTATGTGTATTACGGATTTTAGTGATACCAACCATTGACGTAATATAAATATAAAGATTAATTGACTAGTTTAATAACAAAAGAGCGTATTGACAATATTCAATATTCATATCGCGTAGTCAGAGTCTCTTTAGTTTTTGCAATATTCTTTTATTTACAGATCTAGACATTAGCGTATATGTATGAGTATAATCATTTGGAGTGCCGTAGCTCGGAGCTATTGATTTCTAAAAAAAAAACCTTTTTGCCAATACATTCAAAATTGAGTGGAAAGTTTCGAAAGAATGACCCCACTGCTAGTTCATCTGGACACTCCACAGGGGGGTCTGCTCCTGGTAATTTTTTTCTTCTTTAGCCATGTCTTACTTTTTTGTTCTGTTGGCTCTCTTAAAATATTAGCAAACACTCATCCTTGTGGCTTCTTTGACTTCCGGGTAAGTGTAAAGGGCTATCAACTTAATGTACAGTAACTATTATTGGCTTTGAAACGACGTATAATTCAAGTGCCAGTACGTAGGGCCAGTCACGTAGCCAAAGTAATACTTGAGTACAGTAACGACCAAGAGTCACCGCAGTCTAAGATCATGCAGGTTGGAAGAATTCTTAATGTTCTGGAAGTTTCTAATCCTTCCATGGGCATCTGTGCGCCCTCATGAAATGAATCGCAGACTCGATTTGTAATTTCTTGGACCTTTTGTTATTATTCTTATTGCTTAAACAATGACTACTAACTGTAGAAATAATTTTTATATTCAGGATCTTGCATCTTATTGCATCATGGATGCTGCACTGAAAAATATGACGCGTAGACGAGACGCCCTGCGTAAGATGGAGCTAAAAAAAAAGAAGTCGTTATTAATGGGGGAATTTAAAATTTACTCATAGTCTAGACAGCTGTGCTTAGACTGTTTATTCGTATGATGATCTTGTATTAGAATCATATGATGCAACATTATGCATCATGGACGCAACAAGGCTGCAGGTCGCGTGGACGTGACAAAAGTCTCGTACGTGACTGAAATTTCTCGATTTTTTATGTAATACGTGCACGTACTAATTATTACAGTGAAATTGATCGTCATTAATTTAAAAAAAAATTTTGTGATATCCGATGTGAATTAGTGCACTCGGTATATTTTGAAGTATATTTAATATAATTATATAATTTAATTATATTTGAAGTATATTTTAAAGTATAGATTATTATATGTAGTATATCATATTTTATACGGTATGACTAAATATTATTTAATCTTTGGTATCTTCAAGATATGCGAAACTCAGCCATTTTATATAAGTAGATAAGTTTCACCATAGAAGATAAATGTATTTTCTCTTCTCTGATCTTTCACGAATTCTCTATGGATTTCATCTTCAGAGTCTGCTGAACCTGCGTGTATAAAACGTTAAGACTGTTCTCGAATACATTGAGCTACTCTCACTATACTCAGTTACGGGTAATTTTAGTACTGCCAGATCTGCAGAATTGTTAATCTTTTGCAACTGGTTCAACGCTTAGTCCAGGTACCTGTCTTTATATAGATTTTACGAGAATATAGGAATCAGGCCTCTTGGTAATCCAAGGTGTATTTGTCCTTTTGAACAAAATTTTATAATGGAAATATGTTAATCGAAATACGATAATACGACGTAACAGGGAATATAAAAAAATTACATCATAGAACAATATTCCATATATTTTGTATACATGTTGAGATTAATAAATTCTTTAAAAAAGCTTGAATTTTGTTAAACAAAAAATTTATTATTGACATTGTAATATAAAAAAAAAAGATAAGTATAATGGAACGCGTAACCTTGACTACAAACCACCTTGTAAGTTCCAATTAATTCACCTTTCCGTTTTAACGACCTTTCAAGCCATTACCTGTGAATAATTTGACATTTCATAAACTTTTGTGCGAACTTTTAAAATCATCTGTTGTGAAAATGAAATTTAAAAAAATGTATAACGTACAATCGACATCACTAGATCATTAATTATTTCTAATTTTCTGCACAAAAGAATTTGTGTTGTTGCATTCCGTGGAGATACACGTAAACGAAGCAATTCCTAATGGCAATTGGTAAACAGGAAGTGTTAAATTTGGCAGGTCAATCGTCCTTAACAAAGATCATTGGAGTTCGAATAAGCTTTGAAATTACGTGGCATGACGTCGATGAATGACGATCGATCGTCAAACGAGGGGGGTGTGTAAATAAAAAATAGAGGTTTGGCAGTGGATGACGAATGCCAACCTCCAGCAAAGAATTTTTCAAGCAAGTAGTAAGGAAGGAATTGACAAGGATACGACAAGTCTATTATCGTAATTGCGAAAGAGGCACGTCCAAGTATTGTCCTTATTAAGATGGTACCAGGCACCGTGCCAGCACGAGACCAAACGGGGTCAAAAATATTTTTACGTATTAATAATTCAGTCACATGACGGTCCAGGTCCAAAGACGAGTTCACTCACGTGTCTTCCCACCTCAAGTTTGGAGAACGTATATCTTTTATTTTTTTCATACATTTTTTTGTTTATGTTGGTCCATAACAAAAATCTGCGGAAAGTTTTTGCCAATTTACATCATCCTGTACAAGCTACCGACTGATTGGCAGTCGTCATGAAATATTCAGCAGTCTTCATACACCTTCTCTTGGTCCTTCGGAACAGAGAGGATTTTTATAAAAATAAATATAAATTTTTAATACCTCGAAAGATGCAACTATGATATTCATATAAAAAGGATCTTTGACATTTTCAGATACATATATCTTGGACCCAGAGATAAATATCAAAAATCTTCCTGCGTCGAAGAGCAGGGAGTATTTTGGTATTTCAGAGTAAGACAAATATTTCCAAATATATGTACTCAAATTTGTAAAATTAATATGGATATCAACAAGATCATTAAGGACAGTGTTCGCAGCATCTTCCACGTATATAAAGATCTTATCTGAAGTAATAAAATAAACAATATTTCCATTACACGTTCCTTTACCATGTATCGTTATTACAGCATTGCCTTACCCACTCATTAATAAGATCCGTAATAATACCTTATGCAAAATTGTATCAGAGTATCCTGTGCATAAAGTATTTATCAAGTCCTCAATAATATATTTCCTTATCATTCAAATCAATTCCAATATGATAACTGATCTCACCCATATTAAAAATTCGCTGTAATAAAATTCCTAAAAAAAATGGTACAAAGCACGTAATACAAAACAGTCGTAACAGAAGTCTCAGGGGGTTTATAAATATTTAGTATAAAAAATATATGTAACGTAGACGAGTCCCTGAAGAAAATAATTTCGTTAGAAAAATTGCAATAAAAATGTATGACGATTTCCAAAAATGTAAAAAATTCTTTCTATATTTCTTACGTCTCGTCAAATAACATAATTCTCAAGCCTCTTCCGAACAATAAATAAATACGTAAATTTGACAAATAACATTGGCCGAATGGCTTATGGCCTAACGTGTACTTTCATTTCCGCGAATTTCCCACATCCCTCCCGCATGTCGCACATAGTCGACGTGGCAAGTACGTTTAAGAATTCTGAGTAACTGTTAAAGATAAAAAAAAGGCATAGTGAACGAAAGACTGACGACGAATGCATATGCGAGACAGATGGGTAGGGGCTTTGCTCGCCTTTCTACCAGCTGATTGGCTGAGACGCGTCGAGCCTCCTGATCGTGACGCGAAAACGACCTTCGCTGGGCTTCTACGTGCCGACTATCGCGCAGGCCAAGTAAGCAAACTTAAGTAAAGCAAAGAAAGAACCGACCAATCAAGTAACCATCCGATGCGAGTAACAATCCGTATATGTCAGGCACACAGGCTCCATATCACTTGAATCATCTTCTATTAGCCTTTATTCTCTTTTATTTCCAACGTCAGAAACCGGCAAACACATTGATGACTTTAAAACGAGTTCGCGACACTGAGTTGCCTAACTTACGCAATTGTCATGCGAAATTACCAGGTTCCGACGATTGGGTCACGTTTAGTATTTTTACATGAAAACCGGTTGCGATTCTTTTAATAGACAATAATGATGTTTTATTAATGAATTTACAGTGTTTTCGTTCGGTTAGACAATGTTTGGTAATTGAAGAAAATTTCGCTGGTTAAAAATGACAATTAGTATTTATACGTTGTAATTGATTTATCATTCACTTTATTGGCAATCGCGTAACGCTTAGAAATGCCAGTCATTGTTTTACGGAGACAAGGTCCACTGTAATTAAGTTATCAGTAGGTCGAAGGTGTGTCTAGATTAATAAATGACTATCGGTATTGATCGTGAAACTGATCTATACTGCTAATTTTTAAAAATTATTTTTGTGGATTTTCTACTGTTGATTATTGCGTCATACATATTAGTAGGTAACGGGATGATGGAATATTATACTAGACAAGCCTCCTATTTCGTCATGATAACATTGCACGTACGATTAATCGTCATGGATAATAATATTAATTATCGAATGGGATCAGTGACTGAAATAGATTAACAAAACTTTAATTCGATAAGGACGAAGCTTCGGTACGTACTACTGATTTTGAGTATTAATGACGATGATTAAAGTATATATAGTTTCCTGAATGAATTCTATATCAGCCTCTGATAATATAAGTGTAAACGAAACGCGAAACTAATGACCCGAGGAAAAGTGATACGTTCTTAAGCAATATACACGTTCATATAGAACTTATTACATTTAACAAGATTATAAACGAGGTACATAAAAACGAGGAATAAACATTAAAACGGCTCAAAAAAATTTTTATTTATAAAAGAAAAAGAAGATATGTATAATCAATGAGGTAAGAATGTCATAAACGTACAGAAATATATTGACAAATTGAAGATTTTATAAACGAATCAAGTAGCACATACTATTTTTATTTATTATACAAATTGATTTAAAAAAAAGTCTATACCGACAATGAAATTCAAAAACTTAACGTAATTTTAAAAACAAGCATCGATCCTACAATAAGTGTATTACAGACAAAAATAAGGTTGAAAATTCGACAAGGTTTTTCATTAGCTCTCGAACGATCTTGCCAATCTTTAAAAAGCCAGCAGCGTCTTTCCAGCTGAATCCAGCCTCCTCTTAGTTATTTTCCCATACGTTGGATGGACCATTCTTGCTGGCAAAGAGGACAGCGATTATTCTGTTTCACCCAGAGTGACATACAGCAATAATGGAAGGAATGATTGCATTCGCCCCACACAACGACGCAATCCTGTCGACCGTAGAAATCCTTTTTGCTCTCAGCCTGACAGCGTAGACAGGCATCTGTAATCAAGATAAAAATCCTTGAATTAGACTTCAATTGACTTGCGTCGCAACAAACGAAGTTGACATTACTCTGACACGAGAATTATCTTAAAAAAGACATACAAAGATGACAAATCTGTGTGAATGAAAAAATTTCAACTTTTCTCACAGAATTTATACATAGCTATAGTTAGTTCGACAATAATAACAATCAATATCCAATTACGTTAAAAAGGATATAAAAAGTTGATAAAACATTGACATACATAACCTTTCCTAAAACCCTCCATTAATTTCCTACTTAAATTATTATGATAAACCAGCAAGAAAGTGGGTGTGTCCGTTATCATCGTGTACAGGATGATTCAATGCTCGGACTTGAATCGAATAAAGAGAAGAAAATTTGTCAATAAAAAAAGAACCGATAAATACAAACGAACAAACGACGCCAAATGAACCAAGCTGAATAATCATTAGCTCACTGAACGATTATATAAATTAACTTCCAAGACCCTAAGAACAGTTCAGCGGTTCGTTATACAACATTTTTCGTCCACTCACGTTTCAGAGCCACAATCTACAGAATACTTATCCTGGCGATACAGTAAATCAAGAGATCAAGGAGTTTCTGCCGTAACGTCACGTTTGTCATTTTAATGTTTTTGCTCGTGACTTTTCTGAACGTGTTCAATAGTTATATATATATATATATAGTATCAGAAAGAAAAGAACACACGGTATATCATCGAACTGAGTACGACGATAACACACGAAGAAGAATTGTCCAATTTACTATCCTTTGTGCCGAGTATTATGTATTATTGATCAAGTAGAAAAGGAGAGTCTCTAGTTATTTACAGCCTTGCAGCTTTTAATGGGTCGTCGATGACGTAAAGAGAGGTGACAATGTCAGAGTGAACTCTCGTGCGCAAATTCAAAATCACTTAGCGGGCGTGTTGTCGAAAATGTTTGAAAAATAAGCAAGCTTGACGTCGAGCGCACGCGGTACGCGTGAGTGATACAAAATTTATTAATAATTTTATAATAATTAAATCATGAATAACGAAATTACTCCATCGTTTTTATTTTCACATGAAAGCTCAAACTCAACCATGTTAACTACAGGGTGGTATATGACCTGCTGCACGATTAATCCGATGATAACAGACTCCCGTGGATTTCATAATAATTAAATGCAATTTAAATAAAAATAATTAATTTACGATCGCCGTTCTACATAGAGGATAAAAAAATGATAACGATTTTACGTAAGTGTAAATTACGTAAAGAGTCTGGATCTATATCAGTTATTTCGATGATACCATTGGCTTGCATAGTAATTACCAATGGTTAATTAACACGGGGGATTCTGACTACTTTTAAATTACCACTACAAGCGACACACTTGCATTCGAGATAGGATATATTCAATAAAAACCGTCTCAGCCATCGCGACGAGACGAATAATCGTAAAAACGACGATCCAGGATAGATAACAAAAAACGTATATAAATTTATTAAAAAATTCATATCTTTCGCATATATCCATAAATCAAACTAATACCTGAAACCTGTATCCAGTGTAAACAACTGCAGCAAGTAAAAGCGCAACAATCTGAAGTTGGATCGCAGACGCACTTTACGACGACACGTGAATATCAACGAGAGAAGTAGCGTAAGACCAAAATCGTATAAAAATAGCAAGAAAACTTGGCACGTTAAATAAACGAATAATAAAAATAATGAGTCGAAAGAAGAAAATAAAAGTTGCATAATAATATAAATTGAGATACATTATACGCAAATACCCATTGACTTTTCATATACACCCCTATATAGCCACGGGACCTAATCTAAATTCCTAATAAATTTGTATCGACCCTTCCATCATACTTATGCGTCATTGTCAAATTACTTACGTAAATCATAATCTACATATATCGTTATCGATATTGCTATCGCGCTGTTCCAGAACTCTATGTATGTATGTCGGTCTCGTTACTATCAAAGTCTCCAGTAAAATTCCACTTGCTTATCTAACTGACGAGGGTGCGTTATTGCGCCTAGCAATATGATACGTAGACATGAGACACGCGCGCGCCTTAAGGAACATAGAGGAGCTGCTTGCCGGCGGCACGTGCGTCTTTCGAGTGGTCTCCGGTGCGCATGCGCGAACAGCAGCCGTCATACGATGATTGGTAAAACTTCCATCGTATTGGCCGAGATACTGTCACGATCAATTTACAGTTCGTTAAGGAGCTTCGTTGACCCTCTCCAGGGGGGCCAGAACGCACATGTCAGACGTGCCCCCCGGGACCTGGGGGTAACGCGTTGGGACAATTGTTATTATACGGATGCGACGTACACGTCGACAACTAGAAATTTCTTTGAGAATTTTAATCTCGATTGGAACGGTGGGCGGGGCTCCTTATCGTCAATAGAATTAACTTACTCGTACGATATGGTTTCAGTTAATTTTAATAACGGAGGTAAGTTCAAATACATTACATTATTGTGCATTTCAGGTTAGCTCCGGACTTTTTCGAATGGACATGTGTACATATGTTGCATGCTAGTATATCTATATATACATATTCACTTGATTCACCCACTGCAATCAATCGATTCGAGTGGAAAATTACAAACGCTCTGTTTAATTACTCATATTCGAGTCGCCTTGATGACGAACAGTCCTTCGAGATTGATCGTCGTGGAATGAACTGTCGGCAGTTCAATTAGAAATGATTTTAAGAGAAAGCCAAACTGTATGCACAATGCTATTATTGAAACGATGAATTTCTAAGTAGTAAATAAAAGGGTATTTTGTTTTTATTAAAATGAACAATTTAATTCAATATTTTGCCAGGTGTTTTCGATTCGTGTATAAATTCTTGAGTGACACGATATATACAAATTATTTCTGTACTAATTATAAGTGTTCGGTAATTACAAACACCAATCATTCCTTATCCTTATAACCCCCCCCCCTCTCTCTTTCTATTTCTCTCATCATTCTCTTCCTCGTTCACTCATTCTCTATCATTTTTTTTTATTACTAAAAATTATGTCAATATGCAATTTGTCGCACTCGTAACGCCATCTTACCTTGAACTGCAAAGAAATATTTTGCACAGATTGAAAATCCACTTTACATTAAATGCACGTGAATACACAGATTAATGAGGTACTATCAGTTTTTACCTAACTTAAATCTCTAGGATTTATCGGTTCAAAGAGTTACGTGTATCACTGTACATTTATAAAATTGCACCGATAGTCGATATATATATATATATATATATATATATAGGCAGTTATGAATATTAACATATTAGAGTGCATCAACGTAATGCATATATGCATATCAGAAATGCATCTATGACCTTTGACTTCAATTTGTATGAAAAAAAATGTATATATACATATATCATTTGATATACAAATTTATATAGCATCAAGACTGAACTTTCAACAATTACGTGTTGTATTAACTTCTGGAAGATCTCCTTGCCCCCCTCGCTCGTCCCACTTATTCGCAACGTCTTCTTCTAAGAAACTTATATTATATAAATGGAGGAAAGGCGAACGGGCCTTCATTGAAAATTTATTCAAAAGGTGCTTAATTGTGCTAGACGTATACCTATGGACAAATATGGTGCAGAAATATTATCTTAAATGTATATACAGTTGTTCCATTAGTTTTTCTCCAGTAACACCAAGTAATCTAATTATTAATAGTCACAGGTAATTTTCCGTGTAAAATAACGAAAAATTTATTAACCGCTTCCTGAACGTTTTTCCAGCGAGTCAGGCGACATTGACGGGCCAGCTTGATATAGCCATAGTGGCACACATTAAATATTTTTACAGGCATACAGGGTGGTCCAAAAAAGTGTTAAATGGGATAAGAGGATCGACTATTTGGTATATAAAAAAAATATGGGAAGCCCCATACGTCCCCATAAGGAAAATATTTATCTACCCCAAATTTGTTACACGTGTCATAGTCAATTCCTTTAGCCATTTCAATACAAAAAAAAATCAATTCCATATCTCCAACGCATCCGAAGAATATAGCTTCTACCGTTTAATTTGGACCACCCGATGCTAACACCAGGCATTACCTAATAATGAATACGTTGATAATAATAAAAAAGGAAGCACCGATGAAAAAAAAATCAAAGAAAAATAATTAGCAGAGATCCAATCGATAAAACGTAATTAGACTAATTGTAAAAAAAGGTTGCAGGAAGAAACACTTTAAATACATTAATTTAGTGCGAGTCAATTATAAAAACACGAATCGATCAAGATTCTCGAATGATCGATAATCGAAATGAATTCGAGTTCCATGCTGACGTCGTTAAGAAAAAACCACGTGATCGATAGATAGAAGAGCCGCGCGATTCGATAATGCGGAAGCTCATGGGTTAAGAATTCAAGATCACCGATGATCCAATTCAAATGATTCCGGAGATAAACACGTGCGTAGCCTTGAACTTGAATTACAAACGATCCCACGGCCGTACGATGTCCACGAAATGACATAAGTAGTACGTAAAAATAATACACGATAAAATCCTCATTTACGCTATATACATAGTAAACAATAAAACATATCATTCAATTATCCGCCGTATCATTACGTTCCTCGTGTGTATCATATATTATTATAATCATTGATTGGTATAGGTCAGTAGAGTGCAGAAGATAAGAAGCTAACGTCAGTTGTCAATACGATGCTGGATAAAGAAGGAAAAACAACAATTTATTGATAATCCCATATTATCCACGTGATTCACTCGTGTCTTCGTTTCCTCTTGTTATCAATTTTCGTAAGACTGAGGGAAACCACCGTCTATCTACCAGTCTTGGCGCGCATGATATCCGTGATCCGCAGCATCTTCGTGAATTAGATAAGACGGATCGATGATTTGTTTTGAAAATTCAATTCGCGTCATTGCTCGAGGAGATACACAAGGCCGTAGAAGCCGAAGTCGATTCACTATCCTAAGACG